TGCACCTCCGACACAGTCGGACACAGAAACGAATGCAAAGGGTGAGGGAGGGTGCCTCTGCCACCCCGACGCCCAGCTTGGACGAATTATTGGGGAACGAGCCCGCTCCAGACCCCGAAGTCTTAGAGAAAAGGGCACAAAGAATCCGGCTTGCGACAGAACGAGCCAAGGAGGAAGCCGACCGAAACCCACGGGTCAGCCTCGACTTAGCCTACAAGCGACAGTACAAAGCGCTAGCACAACAGATGAGACACCACGACCAAGTGCTCGAAGCCACCATGCTCGCCTTGGAAGAACAATCACGCACGGGACAACCGGCACGGTATACGGAGTACGTGGGGCAACTCCGTGAAGAAGCCACTGGCCAGTCTGTGCCAAAAAACGACGAGTACCGTCGTTAGGGAGCCAAACGAACGGTAAAAAGGCGAAGGACCTGAGAGCGACCTTCGACCTATCGCCATTTACGGCGAAAATACGGCTCAGAGGATACGAGACTACCGCGCTGATAGACAGCGGAGCTCAGGAAAATTTCATATCACCACGAATGGTGAACGAACTCGACATACCATGGGCTTACAAGAAAGACCCTTACGAATTGCGTACGGTAGAAGGGAAACCGGTCCAGTACGACGGAGGAATTATCAACCGAGAGACGTCGCGAATCTCTCTCATGGTTAACTCCAAGGAAACACCGATCACTTTGGATATCACCGACACGGCGGGACACGACGTGATATTAGGACTACCATGGCTACGGAAGTACAACCCTACCATCGATTGGTTCACTGGCCAGCTGATTTGGACAACGAGGCCCAATCAGGAACGATCGAAGAAGGACTCAGCCTCTACCGCTCCTCAAAGACAGGACGCACGCGAGTCACGAACCCACAGAGCGCTACTGTACCTAAAGAAGGACACGCCTGAAGGGATTACGACGATACCAGAAGAGTACCGCCAGTACAGCAAACTGTTCCAGAAGGAATTAGAAACAGGACTACCGCCACACTCGCACTACGACCATGAGATACCCCTCAAACCAGGGACGCAGCCGAAATTTCAGAAAATCTACGGACTGAATGAACTACAGCTAAACGAGCTGAAGAAGTACCTTGAGGAGAACCTCAGGAAGGGATATATTCGACCGTCACAATCACCAGCAGGATATCCTATCCTCTGGGTACCCAAGAAGAACGGCGAATGGAGAATGTGCGTTGACTATCGACAACTCAACGACATCACGATCAAGAACAGGTATCCGTTACCATTGATCACCGAACTCCGCGACAGGTTACATGGCGCCAACTGGTTCACTGCGTTGGACCTACCGGGTGCCTACAACCTCATACGCATCAAGGAGGGAGACGAGTGGAAAACAGCCTTTCGTACCCGACTAGGACACTACGAGTACCTCGTAATGCCCTTCGGCCTCACGAACGCGCCTGCCTCGTTCCAAAACATGATCAACGATGTGTTACGGAAGTACCTAGACGACTTTGTTATCGTCTACCTTGACGACATCCTGATTTACTCCAAAACCTTGGAGCAACATCGGAAGCACGTCCATCAGGTGCTGCAAGCCCTACAGGACGCGAATCTATTGGTCAACCCAGACAAGAGTCAGTTTCATGTCCAGGAGGTGGTTTACCTCGGACATTTGATCAAACCCGGACAAGTCCAGATGGACCCAGCGAAATTAGAGGCAGTCAAGGACTGGCCTGTACCAACGAATGTCAAGGAAGTGCAATCTTTCCTTGGATTCGCCAATTACTACCGGAGGTACCTGAAGGGTTACGGAGGGCTGACGATCCCCTTAACCAACCTCACGAAGAAAGATACCAAGTTCGAATGGACACCCGAGTGCCAAGCAGCCTTTGACCAGGTTAAAAAGAACATGCTTGAAGAACCAGTCACACGAATGGCCGACCCAGACCGACCATATGAATTGGAAACCGACGCATCCGACTATGCCCTGGGAGGACAACTCGGACAGCGCGACAACGACGGAAAGCTCCATCCAGTAGCATATTTTTCGAAAAAGCTACACGGACCAGAACTCAACTATCAAATCCATGACAAGGAACTCATGGCGATTATTGAGTGTTTCAAAGAATGGAGACCATACCTAAGTGGCACACAACACCCCATCACGGTGTTCACCGACCACAAGAATCTGACATACTTCACGACGTCGAAAGAACTCAACAAAAGACAGACACGATGGGCCGAATTCCTCTCGGAATTCAACTTCAAAATCGTGTACCGCAAAGGATCTGAAAACGGCAGAGCAGACGCACTCAGCCGAAGGCCAGACCACGAACAGGAGATACCTGCAGAAACACAAGCCATCCTGCAGATGCGAACCGACGGGAGCATGGGAGGCGTTCCTCGACAGATCGCACTCACCAAACTCGTCACACCGCCAGACACGGCAAAAGAACAAGAGATCTACCAGCAGTACGACCACGATCCCTACATCAAGGAAAAACCACCTAAAGGATCGTTGGTCAGATATAATGGACGACTCTACGTACCCCCAGCACTGAGGGAAAAGTACGTACGGGAAATACATGAGGCCAAAGCCCATGGGCATGAAGGAATCACACGGACCAAGGCAAGAGTCCGAGAAACGTACGACTTCCCCGGACTCGACGGGATAGTCAGGAAGGTGCGGAAATCATGCCACGAATGCAACAGCAACAAGGCATCAAGACATCCACCTTACGGGGAACTGCAGCCTATCCCCATACCAGAACAACCCTGGTATTCAGTGGCTATGGACTTTGTGGTCAAGTTACCCAAGTCCAAGGACCCGGCCACTGGAGTCGAGTACGATAGCGTTTTGGTGATACCAGAACGGCTCACCAAATATGCGTACTTCCTCCCATTTAACGAATCACACACGGCAGAACAACTCGCGTTCACGTTCCTACGGATAGTTGTGGCTAACCACGGATTGCCACACGAAATCATTACGGACCGAGGAAGCACCTTTGCATCCAAGTTCTACACGTCCTTGATGGGACAATTAGGAGCCAACCAAAAACTGTCTACGGCGTACCATCCACAGACAGACGGACAAACCGAGCGTCTGAATCAGGTGCTAGAAGCATATTTGCGCAACTACGTCAACTACGACCAAGACAACTGGGTAGAGCTGCTACCACTCGCACAATTTGCATACAACAGCGCACCAACTGAGACAACCAAAGTCTCACCGTTTTTCGCCAACTATGGCCGAAACCCGGAAGCATACCGACAACCACGAGACAAGGTCAACGCAGAATCCGCAATTCTCAAGGCAGAACACCTTAAGAAACTGCATGCATCCTTGAAAGCGGAGCTTGAGTTCGTCCAAGAACGAGTCCGTTACTACTACAACAAAAAAAGGATGAAGGGACCATCCTTCTCGGAAGGAGACATGGTCTACCTACTACGAAAAAACATCACAACAAAACGACCTAGCGACAAATTGGATCATAAAAAACTAGGACCATTCAAGATTGTACAGAAAATCTCGACATCCAACTACAGACTGTCACTACCAAAAACGATGCGAATTCATCCAGTTTTTCACGTTTCCCTACTGGAACCAGCCCCTCCAGGAGTACGGCTGGAAGAACCAGTGGAAGTAGAAGGAGAGGAAGAGGAATACGAAGTCGAGCAGATACTTGAGCAGAGGGTATCGGACGGGAAATACTTGGTAAAGTGGAAAGGCTACGACGCTACAGAAAACACCTGGGAACCTAAGGAACACTTGACGCATTGCCAGCGGAAGCTTCGACAGTTTCACCAGCAAAGTCAAGACCAGTCAGCAACTGACCGCCGCCCAAACCAACGGTACCCCAGTCGATCACGTCGAAACCACCGCTAGACTGCACCTCCAGCACCGCATCAGACTCTCGACGTTCCACTTCATCTAAAGCATCCAGGTCTTCCAAACCTCGACGGACCATCTCTTTTCCACGACTGATCAAGGACTCTTTCTGCATACGAAGTCGCATCAAACGGGCCAGCTTCTCGTTAAGCAAGCGCTGCGCTTCCAACAACTCGGCTTCGGTAGTTTTCTCCGCGGCCTCGAGGCGCCGTTTTTCCGAGAGAAGCCGGGAAGCTGAAGGAAAGGATCAGCGCGAACAGAGAAAAAGACGAACCACCCAGACAACTCACCGGAAGGACCTAAAGGCGCGTTATCGCAGGACCGACCACGACGAACACAATGATTGCATCGCGAATTCCCTTCCATCATGACACACTTCAACTTGTGACGGGCACAAAAAGAACACTCTTTCACTTCCATACCGCACGATTCGATCAAAGCGACCAGAGACGCGCGCTGAATCGTTTTCTTGGACTTCCGCTTCTCGACGCGGCCTGAGGACATATTGTCAGAAGGACGCCAGAAGAATCGAGGGGAGAGTTTGACACCTACAGTAGAAGTTCCAGTTCCAGGCAGATGGGTCTTAAGAACGGCCTTGGGTCGTCGGGACGTCGACCTGGGAGGGGGACATCGTGTTACAGAATCAGCCGCCGCTACCGCGGGACACTGCCCCAAGGGCGGTCAGCACGATAAGATAGGCAGAAACGCACGGACCGCTGGATCACCCTGGAGTACGGTGATCCATCGTGAGGGATCACGACGGGTCACACCGTGATCCAGGTACGGATCACCGTCAGGCTCACCCAGGATCACTCCGTGATCCATCGTGATCCATTGTCTATATATACGGACGTATGTCTACCCTCAGATACCTACCATAGATAGCTCTCCAGTATTCAAAGTATCTCATTCAATAAAGCACCTTTGAGTGAAGCTATCTTAGCTACGATCAAGTCACCCACCATTGCTCAGCAGCGCCCATCACTTACTGCTTACATAAACCCACACGCCTCCGGTCCTACGAAGTAGTCTTACCTCTTGGGATCAAGGATCGTCACACTAGATCAATCTTCTTATACTAAGATACTATCAATTCTTAGCTATAACTCTAAGTCTAGTGATGCTTATATAGTTTATATTGATGATTATTATCTTTTAAGTTCAACTTATAAATCTCACTTTAATTTCCTTTATAAACACTATTTCCCTAAAGTGGCTTTTAGGCCGGTTTCTCTAGCCCTAAATAAGACTGAGCTCTTTTATATCAGACTTAAGTCTGTAGGCATGTCTTTTTATAATAGAAAAATCTTCCCCTCTAATAAACATCAGCATTATTTTCTTAACTAGGAAAAGCTATAGAGCGAGCTCCTGCCTAAGACTTAGGAAGAGATTAGTAAGATACTCTACCTTACTTCATTCCTCTAAGTCTATATCTCTAGACATATAGATCTTATAAAGTAGATTAAATTAGCTTTCTTTAAGGAATAAGATATAACCACTCTAATTAGTAAACCTTTAATAAAGAAAATCTAGGTTGCTTAAGACAAGCCTATCTAGAAAACTTAACACCAAGCTATAGTGAAATAGATTTATAACTTAGTTATAAGAAATATAATCTATAGTGTGGATTATAATTATTAATTGCATCTTATGACTAATACTAGCCAGACTAGTTATAGTAGTATTCTTTTCTAGCTGAAGGAAGACCATCCTATAGGGATAGCATATACTTCTAATCTTTTTAATAATATTAAGATCAATATATTCCTTAGTTTTAGCTATACTGATATTAAGAAGAGATACTCTATTCCTAAAAAAGAAATACTTACTATTATAAAGACTATAGCAGAAGTATGTTAGATTCTATAGAGCTTGTCTTATCTAATGAAAGTCTATATAGATTACCTCTTAATTATCTAGACTATAGTAAATAAAGCTAAGATCTATAGTAAAGTCTATAAGTTTATTAAGAAAATCAATTCCTTCAATCTTAAGTTCTATCATCACCTAAACTCTAATAAGATTATTAGTATTACTAATAGCATATTATAGCTCTCTTCCCTATTATAGGGAGATACTAGTAGATTTATCTTTAATAACTCTAAAGGGTTAGATCTAGACATAAAGAAAGCTGAGGTACTGATTCTCTTAGAAGACTTAGGTCTAGTTATAGGTCGGCATATACCTAAAGAAAAATCTTTTCTCCTAGCAGACTTATTCACCTCCTTAGAGCAGGCGACCAGAAGTGTTTGTCTTACTTAGGTGGTGCTGCCTTTTAGAGAGCCAGCCTAGAAGTTCTTATCAAACACCTAGCTCTCTGACTTTACTAAGTTTATCTATAACTATAAGAGAAAATAGTATGTAGATATTGTAAAGTTCCTGCTTCTAGGAGATGACAGCCTAAAAGGTCTTAAGAATTATTATAAGATTTATATTAAGAGTTAAGTGAGATAGTTCTATATTATAAATAGAAAACTATTCTTCTATAAAATAGATGAGGCACTTTTAGAATGCGTCCTAAGTTTGTATGTTAGTAAAACTCTAAACTAGGCATATAACCATTATGGCTATTATAGTTCTCTTATCATAGCTTACTGACTTAGAGGACACTTCTAATAGCTGATATAAGCTATAGATATTAGAGTATAGTATATAAAATACTATATGTACCAGCAGCTTAGAAATTATCCTTATTAATTTCTGCTAAGGAAAATCTCTACCACTACACTATTTAAGCTTTAAGGTTAAGACTTTATAGGCCTAATCAATCCTCCTATAAAAGACGGCTGCTGATATATCTTATTGGCTATTAACTACTTTTCCTGATTTATTATTTATAAGCCACTATTAGATACTACTAAATACACTATTATTATAACTTAGGTCTATAATTAGATCCTGATTTTTAGCTGGCCTAGGGTTCTCTATTAGGATAATAGGAGCTATTTTAAGAACTTACTTATATAAGATCTATTCAATAAGTTTGGCACTAGCTTGATATTTAGATCTACCTTATATTCTTAGTCAATAGGATTGCCTGAATATATGGTTTGCCTTATAAAAGACCAGCTTATAAAATAGGCCATATCATAAAATAAAATCAGGTTGGAGAACTAAACCACCACACTTACCAGCCTTATTATAAACATCAACTCTTAATATATACTAAGTCTTAGGATCATACCAGCTAAGATTATATTTAGCACTTAGTTAGGAGTCTATAGAACTAAGGTGCCTATAGTTATAGATCCTAAGGTTATAGAAGTACTTATGACTAAGAGCTCTGATATAGTTTAAGATCTGTCTTATATATCAGCTATCACCAGCTATTATAACTTAGTTATAGAGAAGAGAGATATATTTTAGCTATAAAATCTAGAGGTGTCTAAGAAGTATAATAAAAAGATTAGAGGAGTACTAGATCTACCTATTAGTTATCTTATATAGGAGAAGTAAGTAAAGATTAGCACTAATTATAGTAAGTTTCTTCTAGTATAGTCAGGACCTAAGCTAGTAGTAGAGAAGACAAGCCTAATGTCATACTAGATTAAGTATATTAATAACAGAATACTAGCTTAGAAAGTCTATATCAATAACTTAAAGCTTTTCCTACCTATAAACTATAATATAAACCTAGATAATAGGACAGCTGTAGAGTTTATAGAGAGCCATAAAGAGTTTACTACAAAATTAATTCTTAGGAACATTGCTATATAGAAAGGATTAGAACTCAGTAGGACATAAGTTTTAAAAGACCAGGCACATATTATTTTTCTCTCTATTTTAGGCTTAAGTCTCTGGTTTTTCATTAGGGCTTAGCTTGATAGAGAGCTTGGCGGGGTCGTCTCACATTCTTGCTCCCGGCCGTCCTATGAGGTATGGCTGTGCGACCCACCTAAAAAGTAGCCTTAGCACCATTAATTTCGCCTTCAGGCCTGGCTCCTCTTCTTCTTCTCTTAGGCCACAATAAACCACCATTTTTGACCCTACGTTTCTAGGCGTCTTTTTCAGTAGGCAATTAGTTAGTTAGGTAGTTAGTTACCAGGTGGTGGGGTGGGGTGGAGTCGATACTGTAAATGGGGCAGGTGAGCCACTGTAATTCTGGAATTCTCACCCAACTGCATCAACTACATGTACAAAAGTCTGATCTGCCAGGAGAGGCACTTTTGATATCAGATCTACAGACCGTGGCCCGGTCAAATTAAGAGTCCTAATCCATTCAAACCTTTCACACGCAGGCATGGATATGTACATATTCTACCTTATCCAGGTATGTCTGAGTGCCAGGGCCTGCCAGGGCGGTGTATCTCCTCCACTGCATCTTCAGAAGCGCCCTTTCACCCTTGGCGTTGTGTCTGGAGGCGAGGGCTCTGATAAGGATGAGGATGGTATGAGGCCGTTCGTGATGAATTCACCTGGGAAGTGAGGGGCACGCACATATGAGTGAGTTCCTATCATATGAGAATAGGTAGGCGTCTCCTTTTTCAAGTTTTTTTTTCTGTTCTTTTTCTCTTTCTGGATGGAAGAAAGAGAGTGCTTTAATAGAAAATAGGAACAACAGTATAGGAAAGAATAGCACTCCTCCTTCATCTCTTTGTCGTCATCCTCTTCTTCATCTCCTTGCCCGTCTCCTTCTTATCCTTCTTCTTCTTGTTCTCCTCCTCCTGCTCTTCCTGATCCTCTTCCTCCTCTTCCCTCCTCAACCACACCCTGCTCCCGGAACACGGTTTTCGTGTCGTCGCCGCCACTGACACTGCCGCCACTGCCTTGTTCACCAGACAAGTCGCTCTGACTCATTTCATGCGGATCTGCAGATCACTCGCATCGGGATCTGTAGAGCCCCCACCTGGTCGTAGGCGCCAACATATACTTCTTCTTCGTGCGACTTGACCCACAGAGGCACTGGGCAAACCTCCTGTTTACCGTAAGTCTTTACTCCCGGGCGTTGGATGAAGTCGACAAGCGAACCAGCCGGGTCATCATACGCCCTATCTCTCGGGTCCTGCTCCTGCTCCCAGGTTTGCATCAGCTTGGATCCGCGCGCGTCGCACCGAAAGCCAAAGCTTGTGCCCGTCTCCGGGTGTGCCATGAACAGTGTTATATCGTGCTTGCACCCCTGGATATACTTGTCGAGACGGATGGCAGCCTCCGCTGCATTGAGCAGGTCTTCGTCGAATCGGTCAGGGTCAGAGTATTTGAAAAGCCCAGACAGCTCACCCCGAAGGATGGTACACAGCCAGGCTGGGTCCACATGGCTGCCGTGCATCGCCGAGAGCATGTGCGTTGTAGACCACCTCCAGTTGTGAAAGCACCTAGTGAAGCTATTGTCGATACGTGTTGTGCGTCCTGCCCATAAGATTAGCACGATTCGGCCTTGGGAGTGGAGCAGCTGCTTCCTGTCTTACCTCTCAAATAACTACAGATTTTGCCATATGCTGCCCACTGTTCGCCGTGCCACTTATCATCACATTCGGGAGAGAAGAGCCTGTCCCAGAGGATGTGCCATATCCAGGCCTCCAGTAGCTCCTTGTTTCCTGTGAGCTTGTCCATGTGTCCCTTGGCGTTGGCGGCCCAGCTGCTGAGGTACTTCTGGTCTGCCGGCTTGAGTGCCTCCCAGCCCATGCTCAATGCCGCCAAGCGGTGTGCCAATATCCCGATATAGTGGTCGGCGTGGCCCCAGGCTATGTGGATGAAGTCACCCTCCCAAAGTTTGCCATTCAACCAATTCCCTCGCCAGCGCTGGTTCTCTTCGTCATTCTCCGTCGCGTTGAAGTAGTCATCGGGGGGAGATTCCGCAGGACCTCTAAAAATGAATCTGGACTTGACATAGCCACTGGTATTGTCCAAATCATTAGCCATGTCCTACTGTCTTGTGCCAAGGGACTGCTCTGCAATGATGACTTACCCGCTGGCTTCTTTCGGCTGGGTCTCTTCGGCCTGAACAGGGTCCGGGGACGGGAGATGGCCCTCTTCGGCCTGAACAGGGTCCGGGGACGGGACATTCTGCGCCACCATCTTATCGGCCATCTCCTGCTGGAGCCGGCGGGTGACAGACCGAGTAATTCGTTTGTTCGGGCCAAGTCCTGGTACTGGCTTGGAAGAATCTGCAGAGACGGATCGTTTGCGCTTGCCACCGGCCTTTTGACTCGATGATGGCTTCGCAGCCGAAGACTTGACAGCTTTTCGGGGCATGATATATATACGTCCTCGCAACTCGCGGCGGTGAGGGCAGCAGGGATTTCACGGACAGAAATGGGTTGAACGGATGGAAGTGGTCAGGTTGTAGGGGTACTTTCATTTGATTATGCAACTTTCAGCGGGCTGCCTGCAGGGCTTTTATACAGAGACCGTAGATCTCTCCATGCCATTGCCACGCAATCTCGATGGTGCTCCCAAGTGCTGTTTCCGGGCTTGGGCTTTGTCCTGTTGCTGGAAAATTGATTCCGGATATCACCGCAAGCGGCTCTTGCCCCAAGCCAGGCACATCGTGGGAGAAACTGCATTGTCACAGCGCTAAAGCCTCTCTTTTATTTGCATCTTCTCGATTCAGTGGCTTGAATTTGGAGGGCCAATGAGGGTGCACGAGATCCACCACATCAGAGGCGTACCCCGGATGCGGAAACATTTGCATATACGACCTTGCTTTGTGTACCTACATAAAGTACATAGGTGGATGGCAAAACCAGAGAGGTCAGATACCTACCTTACCGGGCAAGGGTGTTAAAACAGGCATGAGAACAGGACAAAAGTTTTGAACAGCCATTCAAACAGGTTCAGGCAAGGACTTTTTTTGCTGCAACAGTCTGTTCCGTCGACCGTGTTTGCATCACTTCTCAATTTCAACAGATGCTCCTTCAGACAGGCTTTTTGACGCGGTGAACAGGACTTTTGACTTGCTGAACAGCCTGTTATTTTCACACCATGTTGGTGTGAGCCTGTTCAAACTGCTCCCTGTTTAAAAACACCCTCCACCCGGTAAGGTAACTCTAAGGGGTGGTATGACGATTTCCGAACACGGTCGTACAAAGAGGGGGATAGCAGCCTTTGCTGAGCCTCTTTGTCACCTACCTAGGTAAGTACAGTACCTACTTTACCCTGGGCAGTCAAAGAAACAGGCTCGAGGTGTTGAGAGTGTTGTTTGGAGAGCCACTTGGGTCAGGCTCTTTAGAGCACCGTGTCCAGGTGTCCAGGTGAGAAGACTTGTTCCTATTTGAAAACCCGGGCACCCGACACATAGGCTTAGCCAGGTGAATCTCGGGGTTTAGCAATGAAATTGATGTCCGAACCGGTCAATCGGTCCCGCGCCGCTCGTGATGCCCGCGATGCTTCCGATGTTTGCCCCTTAGCCCTTAGAGTGGGACATGCATCTTCTGCATCATTGATGCCTTTCGGAACGAAGGGGGTAGATTGTTGTCGATCCCCGCTGCCCTTGTCCAACCACACCTGGCTGGGTGACTCGCTCGTCGAATCAGCTCGACTCACTGGGCGGTGCTCTGTAACTCCTGCAGCGCCACATGACTGCTACAAGTAATTACCCAAGTATCCTTTGGATGTGTTCTCGGGACTTTCTTTCTTTTCGGTGGCGCAGTTTTGGGTTTCTACAGGGCTGGGGCATTCGTCTCCAAAGGCCCCCAATGAGGTTTCCCGCACCGTCCGTCCGATCAGACATCGTTGCGGCGGTCTGGTCTCTTGGCACGGCTGGAGGCATTTTTCGCCCGGTCTCTGGCCTGTGCAGAATGCCCGTCTATAGATTGCTTCGTGAGACGCACGCGGTGTGACCACTTGTCCCTTTGTCGTCTGAACAAATATCGCCGCCCAACCTGTGACCAGCCTTTGCCCCGCCCATGCCATGTTTGGTCAGTCGCCCATGTTTGGTTCTTGCAGAATTGCCTCACGATGAGGCAGCAATCTTTTCTGTTACCTGCAATACTACAAGGTCATGATGATGACGCCTGCGTTGACCTGTGGCTGTTTTACAAGATGGAATCTCCAAACTTTGCAAAAAGCCTTGCAAATATGAGGCCCTCTCCTTCGACCTCTCGCTGCGCACCTCACTGGTTCCTGCTGGAGAAGAGCGCCCAAACGCATTTTGTACACTGGAATGACGTCCTCTGAAAACTGCGATGAACTTGAAGCCGCTTGGTTTGATGTGGCTCCCGTCCCATCCTACCTAGGTAGACAAGTGCTTGCTGCTCCTGGACCTGGAAACATGCAACGCGACAAACCAAGTGACTGTTGTGAGCCGAGCGCTGCGGCCTCTTGCAAGGTTTGGACGTTTGGACAAACTGGTCTGGAGAATGGCTTCGAAATCAGCAGAATTCTCCGGCCTGGAGCAAACGACAAAGGCAGCGATGATATATCCCGCTCTTTTTTCTGATATCTGAGAGATCAGCTCCTCTCACCAGGTAGCGTCTGTGTATTCGTGTATTCATCTTCGTCATTCAGCCAGCAGTGGTAGTTACTGAAACAACCGTCTAAAGATCTTTACCCCTTCCTCCCCCAGTCTGTTGGCCTGTGATCAACTCCAACACCCAAGCTTCTTCGCCAGATTCGCCCCTTCTTGCTTGGACGGTTCGAACCATGCCGGCTCAAACCCGCTCTTCTCACGTCTGCAAGTGGGATGCCTCGGTCGCAATTGACATTGGAACAACGTGAGCATCCAAGCTCTGTGCTGAAAGGACATCCAGCTGACTGCCAGATCTTCACAGTTTCTCCGGCTACTGCATCATCCAACGATCTGCATGCGAGCAGCACGCCCTCGATCACGATGAGGAGGTTATTTGTCCCGTCAAGTTTCCTACTCGTCTTGCCAGAGACGAGAACACCGACACCATCACGTTTGTGGGACCTGACCCACCTTCGTCTGCCAATGAAGGAACACGTCAGGAGTATAAAAACTTCAAGCTTGCTCTTATGGCCGACGAGGAATGGGATCCGTCGGCGAACAATGCCAATCCGGCACTCTTGGGGTTTCTGCGAGACTGCCTTGGGTCATTTGAGACCCCTGGCAGTTCCTCTGAACTGATCGCAACCTCCCTGAAGGGTCTCTGGGATCTCGCCTTGGCAGAGCTCGAGCAGTTGGAAGTCGGTGCTCAGCGGACCAGGGGTCAACTCCAGGTCATTATCGCATATCCACACTACTGGGACACCTGCGGCCTTGCCAAGGGTAGGTTTGAGGAAGCCCTCAGACTGGCAGGGCTGAAAGGCTCTGGTGATCCCCCCAATGTCCTCCTCATGACAGAGCACGCAGCTGCCGCATGGTCGGCAGCACATGATTTGCAGACCTTGCCCGAGGTCGAAGTTCAGGTAGGCCGACTCCCACAGACTTGCCCATGGCAGAGCAGATGAAACAGCCCGAGCCTGAGCGACGCAAAAAATATGTATCTGATCTCAGAGACTGACAAAGAAGACAGCCCGGTGATCCCATCATCATCACCAATTGCGGCGGTATCAACATCGTGAGTTCTTCCCAGCCGCATCAATCCAATTCAAAATGATGTATGTCCACTAAACCCGACCATAGGATGTGATTGCGATCAACTACCCGGGCATAGACTCAAGCCCTGAGACGGCGGAACCTTCTGGTGCCCATTACATTCTCGATGGGTCAGTAGCGATCGACTTCAACTTCGACAACCTGATCACGCAGTCCATCGAGCGTGTGACTGGCAAGACCGAGGAAGACTGGACACCTGAGATCCGCGGGGAGAAACAGCATGCTTTGGATAAATGGATCAAGGACAAGCCCAATTTCACGGCACTGGATTTGATGACGGGCTCATTCAAGTACAAGGTTGAAGGCAAGCCCTTCTCCATCCACCGGTGAGTCTCACCAAGCCCACACGACACAGCCATGTGGCGATGCTGAAACGGGTTTTCTTGTCGACCCTTCCTTTCTTTCATCTTCATTTCAGGGAAACCAACCGGAAGGCTAACTTGTGACCAGGGACGACATGATATCCATCTTTCGGCCTGCGAGCCAGGCCATTGTGAAATCCATCGTTGCCCTTTGCCGCAAGCCGGAGTGCAAGAGCCCAAAGGTGAGCTCCCGCCCACGCATTCTGGCTGTCTCTTTGCTTCTGTAGTTCACTAACTTTGATGTTTAGGTTGTATTCATGACGGGAGGACTCTCGCTCAACCCCCAGATCCAGGCCATGGTGCGTCACGGCTTGAGGTGCGACTTGGGAGACGAGTGTCCTACGGTTCTAGTTCGGGAGGACCACCACATGTGAGTTCCGGCTGACCCCGCCTTTTGATGCACTCATTGCTAACTGTGCCCAGCTGGAACGCAGTCCAGTATGGAGCTGCTCGGTACGGCATGTCTCTGCTAAAGGCTTGATGCAAGGGCAGAACCTTCTTCAGCAGTGCCCAATCTCGACAACGAGCGCCTGTGGGGCGGAGGACTTGGCTCAGCAACCGGATGATGGCCCAAGGCTCTGTTGGATTCGGATGAGCGGACAAGTTAGTTGGAGGGTGACTTGTGATGCGAGCAGGATTCGCCAGGAACGCTTTTCCTTTTGCACTCCTCTTACACATTTTCCTCTTGCACATTTTCCTTTTTGCACATTTTCCTTTTTGTTTCACACCTCTCGGAACCAACCCGCCCCCTCCAAACCAAAAAAAAAGACCATTGAAACTTCACTCTCCTTTCTCTTTCTGTTCTTCACTCTCCTTTGTTCTTCTTTTTGCCCCCCCCCAAACCAAAAAAAAAGACCATTGAACTTCACTCTCCTTTCCCTTTCTGTTCTTCTTTTTGCCCCCTCCCCAAGATCCCTTTAGACTGCCCCTAGACAAAATCAAAGAGACAAAAGAATAACAACACTCTGATTCCAGAGACATCCCAGTGACAAGTAAAACAGGTATTCTGTAGCTTCTGTGTATAAATAGCCATCACCCACCCACCGGTGGCGATTCCTAACCCGAATCTCCCAAGCTCATTATTATATAACAACCGACTTTTACCACCAATTCCTCCCACCAACGTCTGACACCAACTCCCAGCAACTCCGTTTCTTCCACAGTCTGTTTGCTCGCCATATACCGTGCCCCCAAGACTTCTTCATCAGATACAGCCGTTCTCGCTTGGGCAGTTTAGACCATGCCTCATCATCACGTCTGCAGGTCTAATGCCTCGGTCGCATTGACTATTGGAATAACGCAAGTATCCAAGCATCCCAAGCTACTTGATGAAGGAATATCTAGCTCACTGCCATTTCCCACAGTCGTTCCAGCTATCGTGTCGTCCTACGAAGCGCCTGCGAGCAGCACCCCTGGCTAGACCAGACTATTTGTCCACTCGATTTCCCCACTCGTCTCGCTATCAGCCAGTCCACCGGTGCAGTCAAGTTCGTAGGACCCGATGGACGTTCCCCGGCGCTCCAAGTTCCACCCATGCTGTACCAGGATTTTAAGTACTTGACTCTGCCTCTTGTGCTGGGAGGCGACTGGGCTACGGCTTCGAGCAATGCCGATCCAGCACTACTGGAGCATCTGCGTGGCTACATATCTAATATCAATACCACCATGGATGCCGCTCAGTTGGCTTCGATCTCTCTGAAGGGTCTCTGGGAGCTCGCCCGGGGAGATATCCAGATGTTCGAAGCCCAGGGAGTGAAGTGCCGCATCAGCGTCGTCATCACATATCCGAATGGCTGGGATAGCGGTGTCAAGGGTAGGTTCGAAAACGCTGCTCATCTCGCTGGTATCGCTGGCTTTGCTGATAGCCTCGCCTTCATTCCGGAGCATGAGGCTGTAGCGCGGGCTATGCCGAGTTGCCTGCTTGCCCACCCGTTGCCACTCATTAAGGTATGTCGACCCCTACAGATCTCACCATGACCGGACAGACACAACAGTCCGAGCTCAAAGGATGAAATATATATATATATATTTGACTTCAGAGGCTGACAAAAGAGACAGGCGGGTGATCCCATCATCGTTGTCAATGGCGGCGATGTCACTATCGTAAGTCATTACTAATCCAGTTTGACATCATTTGTATCTGCTAACTATGGCCATAGGATGTGACTGCAATCAACCTCCCGACTACAGGCTCCAGTCCCGACACACCCGCCTCGTCGGGTACTAAGTGCCTCCTCAATGGCTTGTTCGGGATGGACATCAACTTCTGGAAGTTGATTACGAAGGCGCTCGAGCGTTCGACTCGTAAGACCGAGCAAGACTGGTCTCCGACGACCCATAAGGAGAGAGCGGACGCTTCCGCTCGCTGGGACAAGGTGAAACTTAACTTCTCAGCCACATCTTTGAGGGGGTTTTTCCAGTACTCCACTGCTGACGGCCGGCCTGGGAGTATCCATCGGTAAGTTTCACCAGCCAGCGAAAGACATTCAAAGCCACACGACGCGGCCATGTGGTGATCTTGTTCTGTCGTTTTGTTTCAAGGAGACAACCAGAAAGCTGACATGAGACAAGGGACGATCTTATCACTTCTATCTTTAGGCCAGCGACACTGCCTATCGCGGATGCAATCGTCGACTTTTGCCGAAGGCCGGAGTGCAACAGCCCTAAGGTGAGCTTCCTTCTAAATCCCTCCTCAGCATACTGACTGTCCATTTATTCTGTACCTTGGTCATCAAGCTAATTACTTTGGTTTAGGCTGTCGTCCTGGTGGGACCAATGTCGCAAAACCCCGAAATCAAGGAATTTGTGCAGTGGGGCATGAGGCAAGCCCTGCAAGCCCCGGGCCCTCCGATCTTTGTTCTTGACGATTTGTGAGTTTGGTCGGATCCCTCTTTCTATGCACTCATTACTAACTGCGCCTAGCTCGTGCATTGTACCTCGTGGAGCCGCCGAATACGGCCTGTCTCGGTTGAACTAGAGGTCTGACAAAACAGCGCGATCTTCTTCACAGGGGCGCTCAATATCTACCTACAACACTGGATAAGGTGTGGTGGATTGGTTCAGCAACCAGGTATAGATCCTCTGATGGGACTTTGGTTGAGCAGGATGAACAGGGAGCATGTGGTGGTGGCTTGTGAGGATGCTTGTTGGAGCCTTTTCCTTATTCCTCTTTCCCTTTTGCCTTTGTTTCTTTTTACCACTCGCAACCCCCCAGATTGTCCATTGAACTTTCCCATTTTCCTTTCTCTTCTGGGCCCTTGTCCTTGGACCCCCCTCAGGCTTGAGACCCCTTGGAACCTCCCACTGCCCTTGAGAGACTACTTCGTACACCTCATAGCCTTAGCTCTAGCTTAATACTAACCCCTATCCACCCACCGAGACGTATTGCTACTTCAAGAAGCCAGAGTCAGCCCAGGAATATACCCGAACCAGCATCGGCAAAGTGCTACCCCGTATGTGCATATTGGGTCCCAGCCCTCTCTCTCTCTCTCTCTCTCTATTTCCAGCCCCTGTAGAGACTCACTGACCACTGACACACAGAGGCTTGTTTGTACATCGCACAGTAACTTTTCCCTCAACCGAAATAATAAAAAGCAGACACGTGCTCACAGCACCAGCTCCCCCCGCAGCGGCAGCCTCCTGCTGCTCGGCCCGACGTACACCCCGTACGACGCGCCCCGGCGGCGCAGGCGCCACCTCTGCGCCGCGACCTCCCACGCGCTCAGGTCCCGCCTCGTGAGCGCGAAGCTGACCGTCGCCGACCGCCCCGCGCCGATGAACGGCTTGTCGAAGCCCCGGAGCTGGCGGACGGGGACGTCGTCGTCACGGTCGCCGTCGCCGTCGCCGCCGCCGCCGCCAGGAGGCATCGACACGTAGAGCTGGGCCGCCTCGGCGCCGCCGACGTCTCCCGTGTTGGTGACGTTGGCCGTCACGCGCGCCACGACGTCCCAGAGGTCCGCGGGCCCGCCTTCCCTGACGGGCCCGACCGGGTACTCGCCCGTGCTGTTGGTGCTGTTGGTGCTGTTGTTGCTCGCGCTGCTATTGGTGGAGGACAGAAGGCTGGTGATGCGCAGGTCGCTGTAGGCAAAGGTCGTGTACGACAGCCCGAAGCCGAACTCGTACCGCGGCTCGATGCCCCGGGCGTCAAAGTGGCGGTAGTCGACGAGCGCGCCCTCGGAGAAGTCGGCCTGCGGGAACCACCGGAACCGGCCCTCGCCCCTGGCGGGCGCGTAGACGCCGCCGCCGCCGCCGCCGCCGTAGTCGGACTCGTTCCTGGCCACGGTGTAGGGCAGCTTGCCCGACGGGTTGGCCCGGCCGTAGAGCAGCGAGGCCAGGGCCCGGCCCGAGTGCTGGCCGGGCAGGTGCGCAAACATGAGCGCCGTGACGTTGGGGTGGTCGACGAACCGGTCGACGAGCCGCGCGCCGGCGTTGTGGACGACGACGACGGTGTTGTTGCACTGGTCGGCGACGCGCCTGACGAGGCCGTCGGTGTAGTCGTCGCGCGCGGCGGGGCGGTCGTAGCCCTCCGAGGCGTACGAGTTGGCGAGGACGAGGCAGACGTCCGAGGCCGGGTTGACGGCGGGCTCGGCCGACGTCAGGTCCCAGAACGCCTCGGTGCCGTCCTCGAAGAACTGGCTCACCAGGGCGTCGTACGGTGAGCTCAGGAGCGACTGCGAGGTCGCGCCGGAGCCGCCGCCGCTGTATATCGTGCCGGCCGTAGAGATGCCCGCGTCCTGCGGCGTGGCGCCCGACGTGAAGCCGAGCCCGTTCATCCAGGCGAGGGCGCCGGGCCCGACGCAGTTGTTCTGGTCGGGGCTCTTGGCCGAGTACCCAAAGATGGAGACCATCCGGGGTGACTTTAGCGGCAGCGTCTTGTTCACGTTCTTCACCAGGACGTGGCCCTCGATGGCGCCGTCCAGGAGAACGGGCTTGGACGAGGCATTCCTGCCGTCCACTATCTGGTGCGGCTTGGACAGGTCCGGCGGCATGCCGACGCCCGGATCGGGGAAGTCTGCGTCCTGGCCGAGTCGGTACCACGCGGCGATGATCCTCGTGGCCATGTCCGTCAGGCGGGATTCCGGGACCGTGCCGTTCTTGACCGCTTCGGCGAGCTTGTCGCCCCAGAGCCCTTCGTCGCCGGGCATGGCCATGTCCAGGCCGGCAAGTGCGGCCGCGGACCCCGTGTACAAGGCGTTCCAGTCCGTCACGACGAAGCCCTGGAACCCGAGCTCCGTCTTCAGGAGCCCGTTGAGCGTCTTGCTGTTGGCGCACCCATACGAGTTGTTGACGCGCTGGTAGGAGCACATGATGTTGGCGGTGCCGGCGCGAACAGCGTCTTGAAAGGGCCAGAGGTAGACCTCGTGCATCGTCTTGTCGTCTATATTGGCAGAGACGGCCTGCGTCTGGCCCGAGGGCATCCTGTTCGTCTCTTGCTCGTTGCCGATGTAGTGCTTCGTGCTCGTCATGACTCCGACTGCCTGCACGCCCGTCACGGTCTCGAAGGCGAACTGCCCAGATAGATATGGGTCGACAGAAAAGCCCTCCCAGTTCCGGCCTCCCAGCACCGTCCTCCCTAGGGGTCCCACCACCGGGCCGAGCAGGACGTTGACCCCTTTCCTCTTGAACTCGGCGCCCATCTCCCTCGCTCGCCTCCGGGCAAGGCCCCGGTTCCAGCTCGAGCCGACGTGGATGCCGCTGGGGAAGGAGCTGACAAAGTCGGTCATCCGCAGGCCCTGGCCGGCGTCGCTCATGCACATACCCGGGAACCCGAGACGCTTGACGGCGGGGACGTTGCCGGAGCAGCTCGTCTCGGCGCGCACGCCGGCCGTGAGGCTGATCTTCTCGGCAAAGGTCATGTTCCTGACCATGGCCGCCGCCTTCTCGTACGCGGCCGCCCACTCGCCCGTGCCCTTGGCCTCGGGCGCCGGGTAGACGGGCTCGGACTGGCCGTAAAAGTGCGTGTCGTCGGTGATCTCGTCGCTGGCCGCGGCGCCGCTGCTCGAGGAGCCGCCGCCGCGGTGGCGCAGGGCGGCGAGGCCGGACAGACCGCCGCCGACGACGACGAGCACGGCGATGACGACTAACGCAACGCCTCGCTTCCTCTGCAGGAGTGGGAAGCGCTGCGTTAGTCTTGATAGTCAACTGGATCTGTCTGGCACAATAGCCATGTCTTCCTTGAAAGCTCGGGCCATGCTGGTGGTTGTCGTCGTATGACAGCCTTTGTTTTCTCTCCCTTCTTCTGGAGGCCAGTGAGGGATGTACCTAGGGACTCGAAAGAAACCGAAATGCCAAGATTTGCAGAGTGTGTATGTCCCCTTTGTGGTGTACTTGATGCGCGTGTAGTATGGCAGTCACTGTGTGGAGGGTCCACGGGTGTAATTCAAGTGGAAATTGCCCAACTGGGAAGTTCGACGCTAGGCGCAACGGGCAGGCAGGGGACCTGAGACACCACGATCTGGGGTAGCAGGTGTTGGAATGCGATTGCGCTTTAGTCGGTGGTCTTGGTGCCAATTGAGGTTGAGGAACAGAGATGAAGTTTGGTGTTTCGATGAGTCCGCTCATGTGCAATAGGTTTTGATGCAAAACAGTGAATTCCTGAAATTCACGGCATGGCCGGCTGCGAGTTGATGTTGGCGACCTTTGTTGATCTGCTGTTGCCAGGCTGATGGATTCTTGGCTGTGTTGACGCTGACGACACACCCACCCGCAACTTCAAGCGTCTGCCCACTAACCCCGACCCCTGAAGATCGCGTCCTCGGCCAATGGGGAAGTACGGAGTAAGTGGCAGTCCAACAGCTGGGGGTTTCCTTAGCAGCGGGACATTGCTTCACAACGGTTAAATCCCTCCCCCCCATTTTCCAGCATTTGATTGATCCGAGACTTGCTTCGCATCATGCAATGCACGCACGCAATGCATGCAGCGCATTCGCTACCTGGCCGACTCATCTCGTGGTCGACAACCTCTCATCCTGAGCTAGCCACCCACTGAAGCAGCAAAAAAACGTGGGAGACGTGGGGGATCCGCTGAAACTCGCCCAAGCATTAGACAAATTGACAGTAAACGGCTGCCCTGTCCAACGCAGCACCGCACGTGGCAAGGTGCCGCACTCAGGTTACTCTCAAATTACTCGAGCTGTGGATTTACTCCGGCGGGACCTCTGCGGCTCATACGTGGTTCTGCTGTGTGCGCGTTTGAAGTACTATCAACACATCATGAATTGATCTGATAGCATTGAGTGTACATGTAGATATAGATATGCCTACTGAGTTGGCATCCCGTGTGCACACTCTGCCATTCCTTCATATATGCATTGAATCCGAATCTGCGAGGCTACAACATGCTGCACACAATCCTGACTTCCCAAGACATGCAGCTTGACAATGACCAAGTCACTCTTGACACAGGCAGTACATGTACACACGGGACCAAATCAGCTTTATTGTTTCCCAGCTCGAAAACAGTGCGTGTATCTGTAAGAGCACGCCGACTTGCACCGCAGGCCATCAGGATCGAGTTATTCATCCCTTCACACGCTCTTCTGGATTTCAGAGAGCCGTCACTGCCATAATCCACCATCCTCTCCTCCCCCCTACTCCATATCCACTCAGTCTATCAAGACGAGGCTGAAACCCTTGCATGAACTTTTCCCATCCAGACAAATCTGGTATTGCCCTTCCCCCTCGCTGGCGAATTTGCCACGACGCAGAAAAGAAAAAAAATATGCTGCACTGATGAAGAGAAAGCAGGTGCATGCAGACGCACTCCATCAGGGGTGGCCATGAGAAGGAGGAAAAAGAGAAGAAAAAGCGACAAAGGCAAAGAAGAGATATATTCTAGACAAGAACCGCCAGTCGTACCATCATCAAATATGAACAATCAGAAAAGAAAATGAAAGAGAAAAGGCGAGAAAAAGACAAGTGTGGGAACAAGCAAGGTCCACCACCCAGCTCGTTTCTCTTATTGTACAGCCCTGAGGAATGCCGGTATGCAGGACGTGCAGACAACTGGTTGTTGTGGTTGTTGTTCTTGCAGTGTAGCACGTGCTGTGTGCTTCCCAGAGACAAAAAGGCCCAGAGGGGCGGGGTATCTGACCATGAGGATGCTGGCTGCTGATGAGAGGTGCAATTGAGGTTGTGCTTTTTTCCCCGCTGCTGTCGTCCAACAGGCGCGTCACCGCTTGGTGATATTTTATTGTTGCAACGATGATGAAGATGGTGGTGGTGGTGATGATGATGATGCTGTCATGTCGAACAGGTTTGTTGACTGCTTGTTGGGCGGTCGCACTCTGCGGCAGTGGAGGTTGTGGTGGTGGTGGTTGAGAGGAGGTGTGGCAGTGGTGTTGGTGGTGGTGGTGGTGTTCGGATTCAGGGCATCAAGTTGTGCAGAAGAAGTTAGAATGGGTTTTCACACAGGTGTAGGGGGTTTGGGGGGTCCTTATAGAATCAGCTGCTTGAGGTTACGTTGAATGATCATATCCTGCACGGATCCCATCGTAATCTTCAGCAGGTTTGTGTCTGTGGCGTTGGTGAAGTGGCCGTAAATCTCCTTCTCGGGGTTGCGGTTGAGCGCCCGGAACTTGTCCATGAAGTACTTGCTGGCCTGCTTCCAGTCATCGGCCGGGCCGTGGTAGTCTGTGAAGCCGTGCTTGGTGATCGGGCTCTTAGCCAGCTTCTCCTTGAACAGGTCCATCTTGTTCAGGAACAGGATGAGGGCCGACTTGGTGAACCAGTGCGAGTTGGCAATCGACTCCCACAGCATCAGGGCCTCGTTCATTTGGTTCTAAAAGGACGGAGACGGTGTCAGAAAATCTCTAGGCCAAGCAGTCGCGGGGACAGCACGAGAGACTTACGCCATCCTTGTCCTCCACCAGACATTGGTCGTAACCCGAGATGGCGACCAGGAAGAGCAGGCAGTTCACATTCTCGAAGCAGTGGATCCACTTCTTGCGCTCCGACCGTTGGCCGCCGACGTCAAACATGCGGTACGTGAGCTGGCCCAGGTCGAAGATCGTCTCGGTGATGCCGGTCGTCCGTAACCGCGAGCGCAGCAGGTCCTGGTCGTTGGGAACATAGTTCTTGTCCCAGAGGCGATCCAGATCGGTGCAGAAGCTGGACATCACAGTTAGCACCCGGGTCCAGCGTTTTTGCACGGAGAATCACTTCAATCGACGCACTAGTCCAGGTTGTCGTGAAGGGCAAACTCGTTGCCCTTGGCCATCGCGGCCTTGATGCCGGCGTCTTGCCATAATTGCTTGATTGGCTCCAGAAAGTCCTCCGGCATGGGATCGTTAGCACCCACTTCGTAGTCGACAAGAATGTGAGCCATGTTTTTCTAGAGCGCCGAGCGGTCGAGTTAGCCAATTGCGATCACCAATTGCACACCGCAGGGCGCGCCAATTCGGGGACAGCGGGAGGAGGGGCTGCCCTGAATTGGGGATCTGCACCTCGCAGCTCGACTGGCTTACCTCGTTCTCCTTGACCTCGAACTCAATGTTCAGCTCCTGCATGGCCTCGAAGATGAGCTGGAAGGACTGGACAATGTTGTTAAAAACGACCGGTTTCCACTCCAGCTTCTCGTTCTTGCTGAAACCCTGGGCGTAGATCAACTTCATCTGCTTGAGCACCGTCGACTTGCCCGACTCGCCGGCGCCTGGATTCGCACACAACCAAGGTTAGCAAAAGCAGCGCACAAGTGGGAAGGGGTTTCTAGCCAGCAATTGGCACGCACCAAGAAGCAGCAGTTTGACCTCCTTTGCCATCCGCTTCTCGTCCTGGCGGATCATCTTGTCCAGCTCACGCGAGCGGGCCGCCTCGGCCTCATTGTCACCACCACGACCTCCGAAACACATCTTGGCGGATGGTTGGCGTCGGTCTCGATTGAGAGGGAAGTCAAAGTATCAACCCTATCCGTCGCGAAAAGGGGGGCGGGGAAACGTCCTAACGTGGCAGATAGGTAGTTGACCTCCAAGTTGGTGTTGTAGTAGTTCGGATCCTGGCAAGAGGTCGAAGCTATCTAGGGACACTATTCCCCTCGAGAATTGGGGACCTCGATTGGCAATCAGGGTTGGTCGGTCGAAACGGATTTGATGTCACCAGTGACCGCCAGGGTTGAGGGAAATCTGAACTCGGCGCTCGGGCAGGAGGACAGTGGTGTCAAGGTGAGAGAAGAGTGTCGAGCTAGGTGAAACGAGAGGCATTCATCAGACCTGTCAAGTTAGCTCTGCCGGTCAGGGGATATCAGTCAAGATTCTCTAGACCAGCTGGGGGGGGAGGGGAGGAAACGGGAGGAAGAAGCGAAGAATGGTCCGCAAGTGGGCTCTTCAAAGGGAAGCATCACTGCTGCTACTGCTACTACTACCTACTGCTGCGGCGCAACAGCGTTGTGGAGGGCAGGAAGCGTATATAATATTACCTACTATCCACCCATGATCCCAGCCAGAAAGATGTTAGCAAGGTCCCCCCCTCGACACGACTCCTGTTAGGGGAACATGATAGCAGCAAGGATCTGACCTCGGGCATTCCAGGTATCCGCTACATCCGTACGGCCTGGAACCCGTCGCCTGAAAAGGCGCCACCTGCCTGCATTGCAGGGCACACACATGCGCCACGCAGCACGCCAATGCAGCTAGCCCACTGCCCTTCCCACACCTCCAGGGCTGCTGCACTCCTGCCACCCACCAAGACCGAGTAGAGGGTACGGCCCCACGGCGAGCCAGAAGGACTCCCGTCTCTAGCAGAGGTGCCTCCCTGCCCCCTAACGGCCCGCCCCAAAACCCACAACGCCCCCTAGCTTTCAGAGGGCCGATCGTCACTCGGACCCGGCCGCGTTACATGACCGTTAGCATGGCTCGCATATGGGAGGGTGCTGAGCCTTTCCAGCAAGATGAAACGAAAGAGGATATATAGCCCACATATTGGGCATTCGAACTGCAATTCGAGTCAAGAAGAGCGGACAAAATGACCTGTCAAAGTACCTACCTAGACTACCTACGTATTCGTACAGGCTGGTAATCCACTCGCTCTCCACCACGCCATGGTGAAGAACAAGCTTGTCTCTCTACTCCGTAAAGCGCCTAGTGAAGGCGGGCTGGGGGCCGCCGGGGCAGAAGAAAAAGGAACGAAAAAGTGAGCAGTGGTTTTTCTTTGCCCTCCTGACGAACACGGCCTCTTGCCCGAGAAGCGTTACAGCGAACTCGCCGTAGGCCGCTAGCCCGCCGTCCACGGCTGCTCATGTGGAGAGAAGAACAGGTCGAGCCAGGCAAGCTCACCTGTCACCGCGCGATGGATCTCTGTCTTTGCCCGCACGGACGGGGGGGGGGAGCCCTCTCGCCTCTTCTTGGTGGACACGACTTGCTCGGATGCGATGCGGATGCGGATGCGGACAGGTCTGCCTGCGAGACGTGCCCTCGCCTCCCGCGAGCATGGTTCGTGCTACCTGCTGGTGTCTCTGAACGGCTTGGCTTGCAGAGAGACCGTTCAGCGATGAAGACGGTGGCTTGCTGGATCGTGCAACCAGGACGCACGCCGACAGGAGCTCTCGCCCATCCAGAGGACGGCGGTAGCCTATTCCGTCTGCAGACACCACCAAAAGAAGCAACCACGCCTTCGCCCCTGAATCATGCACCTGGGCAGCAGCCAAACTCGACTGCGTTTTGGCGCGGGTCCTGCTAGCGTGGGAGTGGGTGAGCAATGCAGGTGGCTTGCAGGGGTCCTCTGCCTAGAGGCCGCGGAACAGTCCGGTGGTTAAGGTACGGAGACTGGTTGCACACAGACAGGTATCTTGGACGATGATCCCTCGCGTCCGGGGCATCATCCGTGGGCAACGTATGAGGACATTCATTGCAGCACAACATCCCCCCGAATACCGAATCAACTCCCTCGTCCTAGCCGCATCGGACAGCAAAAGGCTCCAGGTGGAATCTGTGGGCGGTGGTCGTGCAACACCGACTTGAAAGACTCGTCCATTACTTTTTGCTCGCGATGCTCCATCCCCGGCTAGCTTGCAGGTCCCCTCTTCTGCCCAACCTGCGACTGGTCAACAGCCATGTGTCGGCCATGAGACCCTCGCACCAGTCACACACCCCTGCGGGGACATCGGGGCATCGAGACGGGCCTCTTTTGCTTCTCACGCACGTTTTCTCGATGTGAACCCGGTCGAACCCACCCAGAACAAGAATGTGCCTTTCGGCTCTTGAGGCGGAGGATAAAAGAGATCGGTGATGATCCAAAGAATGGTACACACAATATGCCACCCGAGCCCGGGATCTTGGGTCCCTGGTCCTTTCCCGCAGTCTGTTGAGCCGCCTACATGCTCATCACGTTTGTGATTCCCGCACAAGATTCAACCACCTGGCGGGCACCATCTGTACGTACTTGTACTTTAGTCTCCCTCGCGGAAAGGATCGAGGCGCCTCCCCGCTGATAGCTACGGGAAGGTCGGACTCATTCGCCGGCTAGTGGCCAAAGGTATCATCGACTTTTCCTCGTCGGCCACATAGTCCACCCGATGGATCATTTCATTGACTAAATATGGCTTGGGCTTTCAGCTCAAGACCACCCGATCAAAGCCCCTCTTAAAACGGTGGATGAATGTCTGTGCGGTAGTCATTGCTTGGTCGCCCGCTAGAGTTGCCTGCCATGCTTCCGCTACAGGCTACAACGCGTGGCGTTTACGGAGCACGGGCCTGCCGTTGTTGCTTTTTTGCCCAGCAAGAGAAACGAGAAGTGAGAGTCTAGAGTCTAGGCTGAGCCTATCATCCCGGCGGGCCAGTCTGGACTTTGCTTTTTCTCGTCACCCTTACATATGAAGTGATTTCTGCAGGCTCGCCATGGCCTGTGATCCCTGCTAGGCCACTCAAAGATTGTTCCCTTCTGGGAAGGCAACGCGGGCCAAGCCTGTCCATCTTTGAAGGGGCGACAGCCAGAGATGTCCTGTCCACTTTACTTCTTGGAGGCCCTTTATGTGGCTATCAAATGCAGCAGTTGACAAAGCCAAGTATCACTACGTATCGATAGCCTCATTGTCAAATATGGACATGGGTCAAGCGGTGATCTTAAACACCCAAGTATTGCTGTTGGCAGTATAACCCTCCCGCCTCTTCCACCGGTCTGCTGCATCTGATATATCATTTTGTATCTCTGCTGCACGTGCCAGTGTCGTGCCAGTGTAGGGTTGTGAGGTCTGTTCGCGGACATCCTCTGGACAACCTGGAAGGAATGCAACCTCTTTCTGTTTGATGCATTCAGCAACAAGCTTATTTTCTGGAGATCTCTTGTAGATTTCAAGTCTGACTGGATCTCACTGATCAAGATTTGCAGTGCCACCCTGGTCATGGTTTCCGGCAATCGTGATTCCTTTTGAATGGGCGCGACACGCAAGCACAAACACCAGACACATGTGCAAGTAGCTCAACCAGTGTGCAACTACCGAGTTGTTGCATTGGGGCTGCCAGTAGGAAAACTGAGACGTCACAGCCAGGGCGGCTTTGCAAATGGATCCCGAATCTAAGAGAGGCGCGGTCTTGGCACTGGACCAGGGCCTTTGCCCAAGGACTGAGCTAACATACCTATCCTATCCCCCCCCTACTTGTACAAGTACAGTCCAGACCATGACAGTGACGTGACAGCCCTCTTGAAAGTCAATGATCCTTTTGAAGGTTCTGACTTGCCTTGGCTAGCGAGAGGTATGACCAGCATCCGGACTGTGCAGCACGTATATGCCAGAAGCCGCAGGTCGTCATCCAGCCGTGCGACTGAACCATGGACTGGTGATGATGGATCGGCTTCTTGGGCTGCTGGAGCTGCTCCACTCTGAGTCTCTGACAGACTTTTGGCTTCCCCTCTTCTTCAAGCCCAATGTGTGGTGCAATGTGAAACCTAAAGACACAACCTTTGGTAGGCCGTTTCTGCACCACAGATGGGGCCTTTCTCTCGCCATGGACTGTTTCCACAAGTAAATTTTATTCAAAAATAGTCGGCTGCCCAATCCCACCGCTCCTTTTGCATGCCCAAGACCCTCACAACAGCCAATCGATAAGGGAGCGATCCCCAGAAACCGCAAAAATTTTCCGGCCTACAGCCCAGAGTCTTGTACGCAAGACATCCCTCTTAAAAGGCGCTTCAATCGCATCATCATTAGCGCCGCTGGCATTGACTTCTCGTTGCGGCACTGATATCCTCTCCTCCTGTCAGCCTTCATCCCTTCTCGCGCCTTTCCCCAACCCGTCCCACCCCAGGAGATCTTCGACAATCACACCCATCAAGATGGCTGAGATTACACATGAAACAATTAAAGGTACTTTGCTCCCTGCCCCACCCACTCCCTCGTCGACACCAACCCCAGTCCGCTGCCTCCTGGCCATGGCCAATCTGACTGGCGTGTTGTCTGGCCGCATTGTCTCGTCCGTCAAGTCTCTGCGAGGACAGCCAGCACTCTCATTGCTCATCGAGCTACTGCCCTATCCTAGTCCCGCGGTATTGCGTGTGTCCCCTGTCAAGTGACAGGCCTGCGCCAGCCATACCTGGAAGCCGACCTGGACACAAGCTGGGGGGTTTGCTTGTTCTGGCCATTGAGATATTCGCAATACCCCTACATGGAAGACTAGCCTTCTTGAGGTGCCGGCAGCGCATCCGCCTGCGAACCAACCGGGGTCATATGCCCTCAAGACGGCCATGCTTCTAGTGACATCACACCCTCGTGGCCTTACTCGTTGACATCCTCGATGATGCTGGGCTACGAGCAATTAGATTTCGATTCTCGAGTACTAACAAGTCTACCTTGACAGATGGCTGGTTCCGGGAGATCTCGAACATGTGGCCTGGTAGGTCTCACATACAACCCTCCCCTATCATTCCACAGGGCTCTCCGCTGACTGCCTCACTCTGCAGGCCAGGCTATGACCCTCAAGGTCAAGAAGGTCCTTCACCACGAGAAGAGCAAGTACCAAGATGTCTTGATCTTCGAGTCGACCGACTATGGCACTGTCCTTGTCCTCGACAACGTCATCCAGGCCACTGAGCGGGATGAGTTTTCCTACCAGGAGATGATCACCCACCTCGCCATGAACTCGCACCCCAACCCCAAGAAGGTCCTGGTCATCGGCGGTGGTGACGGCGGTGTCCTCCGTGAGATCGTCAAGCACGAGTGCATCGAGGAGGCTGTCCTCTGCGACATTGACGAGGCTGTCATCCGTCTGTCCAAGCAGTACCTCCCCGGCATGTCCGCCGGCTTCAACCACCCCAAGGTCAAGGTCCACGTCGGCGACGGTTTCAAGTTCCTCGACGACTACAAGAACACCTTTGACGTCATCATCACCGACTCGTCCGACCCCGAGGGTCCGGCCGAGAGCCTGTTCCAGAAGCCCTACTTCAAGCTTCTCCACGACGCCCTCACTGAGAAGGGCGTTATCACTACTCAAGGTTGTATGTTCTCATTTTAGGCGCTGCGGGATTGGGAGGGATCACTTGGCCGCCCGGACTCTGTCTGGCCGGCTCCTGTGTCCCTCCCAAGGAGCACAGCGGCTTTACGTCGCCTGGAGCTCGATGAGACCTTTAACGAGGCTATCTCCGTTTTCGCTCTTCTCTCGGCCAGGCTTTCCTATGTCTTTCTCTCATAAGCGTCGACGGACACTATTACTGACTGTTGCTTCGCTCTTCTAGCCGAGAACCAATGGCTCCACCTGCCTCTGATCACCAAGCTCAAGAAGGACTGCAAGGAGATCTTCCCCGTCGCCGAGTACGCCTACACCACCATCCCCACCTACCCCTCGGGCCAGATCGGCTTCATGGTCTGCTGCAAGGACCCCAGCGTCAACGTCAAGGTCCCCCTGCGGTCCTGGACCCCCGAGGAGGAGATGAAGCTCAACCGCTACTACAACTCCGAGATCCACAAGGCCAGCTTCATCCTGCCCAACTTTGCCGCCAAGGCTCTGCAGTAAGCGTGAGATGGGGTGATGATTGTGCTGCTTGATTTTGGGTAGTCAGATCTGGTTTGAGCTGGACGTATTGATGGTTATGACTTGGGACGCGGGAAAATCAAAAGTAGAGGAATTATGGTTTCAAGGCCCACGGGGAATTCTGGGCGGCTCGTATTGATCGCATGCGAGGATTAAGACCAGGGATAACAAAACATACAAACAACATACACATGAGCCAAACGCAAAAACAACGTACACGCGAGTGAATTGTTCGGAATCCATACGAGACACAAGCCATACAGACCATCGGTTGCAAGAAGTCTTTCTGATCCCTACCCAGGCCTCAAATAGTCCTATATTGATAGTATCAACCTCGTACATTTACTGTCTCTGCATTGGAGAAAGTGCCATACAAAATATCCGGTGACTGCCCACGGGTCAAAGGACAGGCCCTGTCTCTATGGCCACCCTCATATCTTCCCGACCAGCACGTCTTCCCGACCCCAAAAACCATTCCCTTCTCTACTTCAGCTCAGGGTCCTCGAACTGGATCTTGCCCGCCGCGATGTCGGGGTAGAGGTCGAAGCGGCGCTGGTCCCGCAGGGGGATGCTCCTCCTCGTCTCCTCGATCTTGTCGCCGGTCAGGTCGGCGTAGACGATGTCCTCGGCCTCGCCGGCCTCGGCCAGCACCTGCGCCATGGGGTCGACGACCATGCTGTGGCCGTAGGCGTGGAAGTCGGAGGCCATGTCGCGCGCGGGGCTGCACAGCGCCACGTACAGCTGGTTGTCCATGGCGCGGGCCTGGCCCTGCAGCCGCCAGTGCAGCGGGCCCGTCGTCAGGTTGAAGGCGCCCGGGTAGACGAGGGCGAAGGCGCCCCTGCGGGCGGCGACGAGGGCCATCTCGGTGAAGCGGATGTCGTAGCAGATGGCCACGCCGACCTTGCCGTACTCGGGCAGGTCGACGACGGTCAGCTTGTTGCCCGGGCTGAGCACGTCCGACTCGCGGAAGGTGAACTTGCCGGGGATGTCGATGTCGAAGAGGTGCACCTTGCGGTGGGTGGCGATGAGGCTGCCCGACGGGTCGAAGGTCAGGGACGTGTTGTAGTAGCGCTTCTTGGCCTCCGCCGCCCCCTCCTCCTCCTCCTCCGCGACGACGAGCTCCGGGATGGAGCCGGCGATGAGGTACACGCCGGCCTCCCTGGCGACGGCCGACAGGGCGTGGAAGCTGGGGCTCTGCTCCCGGGTCGGCGGCGAGGGCAGCAGCTCCTCGGCGTACTTGGGGAAGTGGGCGCAGCCGTAGACGCCGTTGAAGCACTCGGGCAGGACGACGATCTTGGCGCCGTTCCGGGCCGACTCGAGGACCCGGTCGTGCGCGCGGCGCAGGTTGTCGGCCTTGTCGGCCGTGGCGTTGAGCTGCACGCAGGCGAGCCGGACGGGCTGCTTGAGCACCGGCGCGTGGGCGGTAGTTGTGGCGGCCATGGTGCGGAAGAAGCTTCTTGGGGACGACGAGACGGAGAGCGGGTTCGGGGCGCGGACGAGAGATGCCAGTGTACGGAGGGCCGTTCGCATCTTCTACGGGATGTATGGGAGAGGAAGGGACGAGGTGGTGGTGGTGGTGGTGGTGGTGGTCGGCACAGCAGTTATAACCGGCGCCGCCTCTGCTTAGCTCACTCAGCCTTATCCTCACGGCCGTATATTATCGGAGCAACCTGTCGGAGATGGAGAGCTCATCGGCCTGCGGCGGGGATGGTGTGCGCGCCCATCTGCCAGTCCTCTGGAGTTGTGGGGGGTCAAAAGCCCGATCTAAGATCGGGATCATCGAGTGCGGGGCCGCTGTCGGTCGAGACTCCGATACCGACACTCTCCGATTACGACCACAAAACGACCAAGATAATGCCTATTTTTGGCTTCCCAGTTATCAGGGTGCTCTGTTCCGTCTCCAGTAAAGTAATACAGTCTCCTGAACTGCTATTCAGGATCGCCGTGGCGGCTCTAATATATAGTACCTTCCGAAGGGCTGCCCTGCGGGCACAACTGCCCTCTCTTGCTCTCTTGGCAATGGAGCCAGTCCATCGTCAATGGGGAGGGATGGCATGAGCCTCCATCGCTTCCTTCTATGCATATTGTCATTCTCGTTTCTGTGCCCCTTTCTTTCAGATAGATTTTAACGAGGTCATAGCAGGCACATCCTCGAAACCACCAGAACGTTCCTCGGTCAAAGACTTTGACACAACCTGTCAACGCTAGGTAGTGGAATACACTGTATGCTATTCAGTTAAAATTAGAACGCATTGTTGACCTTGAAAATTTCCTTTGATGGACTGCAAGGTTTCTCAGTGCTGTCATCAGGTGGTGTGATCCCTGCTACCTGCCGCTAATGAACGCACAGGGTAAGCGCTATATGTTATTTTACAGTTGACAGACGCTAAGGGCCTCTCCTGGGCCGGTCACTGGGGCCCTCTGTGCTCAGGCGGATTGTTGAGTCTGTAGCAGAGTCAACTTCAGCAGTGGGCAGACATAGGCTGGCTTGACCTTCAACAAAATTGGAAGTTCTCTAACTGTCAATAGAAGGAGAATGATTCATCAGGAGATACCTTACGAGCTTACCTACCATGATGCTGTTTATGCCACAGCCTAGCCTTCATTGGTTGAGGATTGGCTTCAGCATTCCTGACTGTAATTCCACTGGGAAGTGTGGCCAAAGTGGCTTACTGTGTATATGCACTGTGGCATTCGACCCTGGACTGGACTTGCCTGACACGTGAACAGCGCGAATACCGGGAGTAATTTCCCAATATGACGAAGTTAATCAACCGAGCCAATTGGCGAGACATATGCTGCCTGCGGCGCGCCGCGTCCACCCAAAATTGTTGACACGGGATGCACCCCAAGAATTCCAGAACTCGTCTCGAAGCCGGCAAACACATTTGGACAACTTTGACGGCCTGCAACACAGAGAGAACGAGACCTTGGAGCGGCGTGCGCCGAGGGCTATCTCCCGTCAAGCCTGAGCTTGCGGAGCCTCGCGTACCTGCACCCTGACCTTGACCCTTTCCTACATCAAGCAACACATCAGCGACTCGGCAACCATCTCTCATCATGGCTCCGGGCGCGCCCGCCGGGGGCGGCAACATCAAGGTGGTGGTGAGAGTGCGGCCTTTCAATGGGCGAGGTGCGTCTATGTGGCTGACAGCGATGCCTTCTCTCACGTCCTTCTCTAGGCGAGTCCCTATATACTGACAGCCTCTGCTTGCGCATGCAGAAATGGACCGCAGGGCAAAATGCATAGTCGAAATGAAAGACAACCAGACTGTCTTGACCCCTCCTCCTGAAGCCGCCCATACCGGCAAGGGCGCCAAAGACATGGGCCAGAAGGTCTTCGCTTTCGACAAGTCCTACTGGTCCTTTGACAAGAATGCGCCAAACTACGCAGGCCAGGACAACCTCCACCAAGACCTGGGCAAGCCCCTTCTCGACAACGCGTTCCAGGGGTACAATAACTGTATCTTTGCCTACGGTCAGACGGGCTCGGGAAAGTCCTATTCCATGATGGGCTACGGCAAGGACGCTGGTATCATTCCCATGATTTGCCAAGACATGTTCAAGAGGATAGCGGACCTACAACAAGACAAGGACCTCAAGTGCACGGTGGAAGTGTCCTATCTAGAGATCTACAATGAGCGCGTCCGGGATCTGTTGAACCCCTCTACCAAAGGAAACCTCAAGGTCCGAGAGCATCCCTCGACCGGACCCTACGTCGAGGACCTGGCCAAGCTCGTTGTCGGCAGCTTCCAGGAGATCGAGAACCTGATGGACGAGGGCAACAAGGCTCGAACCGTGGCTGCGACCAACATGAACGAGACGTCGAGTCGAAGCCACGCCGTCTTCACGCTCATGCTCACCCAAAAGAAGTACGACGCCGAGACCAAGATGGAGATGGAAAAGGTCGCCAAGATCAGCCTAGTCGATTTGGCGGGCTCGGAGCGGGCGACCTCGACCGGCGCGACTGGGGCTCGGCTGAAGGAAGGCGCCGAGATCAACAGGTCGCTTTCGACGTTGGGACGTGTCATCGCCGCTCTTGCCGATCTCTCGACGGGCAAGAAGAAGAAGGGACCAGGTGGCCAAGTTCCGTACCGCGACAGCGTTCTTACCTGGCTGCTCAAGGATTCTCTGGGAGGAAACAGCATGACTGCTATGATAGCAGCTATCAGTCCTGCAGACATCAACTACGACGAGACCCTGAGCACGCTCCGGTACGCCGACTCGGCCAAGCGCATCAAGAACCACGCCGTCATCAACGAGGACGCCAACGCACGCATGATCCGAGAACTGAAGGAGGAGCTGGCCGTGCTGCGAAGCAAGTTAGGCAGTGGCGGCGGCGCACCTGGCGTGGCAGTCCCCGCCGACGAGGTCTTTCCGGAAGGCACGCCCCTGGACCAGCAGATTGTCAGCATAACTTCCCCAGACGGCACGGTCAAAAAGGTGTCCAAGGCAGAAATCGCCGAGCAGCTCAGCCAGAGCGAGAAACTCCTCCAAGACCTCAACCAGACCTGGGAGCAGAAGATGCAGAAGACTGAGGAAATCCACAAGGAGCGCGAGGCTGCGCTCGAGGAGCTCGGCATCAGCATCGAGAAGGGCTTCATTGGCCTCAGCACGCCCAAGAAGATGCCCCACCTCGTCAACCTGTCTGATGATCCCCTCCTCGCAGAGTGTCTCGTCTACAATCTGAAGCCTGGCACGACCACCGTCGGCAATGGAGACTCCAATGCTGACCACCAGGCCAACATTCGTTTGAACGGTTCTCGAATTCTTCACGAACACTGTTCGTTTGAGAATGCACCAGATGGCACGGTCACCATCATCCCCCAACCTGAAGCGGCCGTCATGGTTAATGGCAAGCGAATCACGGAGCCAAAGCAATTGCATTCGGGCTACCGAGTGATTCTTGGTGATTTCCACATCTTCAGGTTCAATCATCCCATGGAAGCTCGCGCTGAGCGCGCAGAGCAGAGCCTCCTCCGGCAATCCGTCACCGCAAACCAGATGCAGAGCTTGGAGCGGACCTCCCCGTCCCCGAGCCCGCGTCTAGGTCACGAGCGGTCCTTGAGTAAGGCAACCTCCGAGGCTGGCGATATCAGCCGGCCCGACTCGCCAGCGCCGTCCCGCAACGGTCGCGATTCTGATTGGTCGTTTGCTCGCCGCGAAGCTGCGGGCGCCATTCTGGGCAGCGACCAGAATTTTGCTAGTCTTACAGACGAAGAGCTTAACGCGCTCTTTGAAGAGGTTCAGCGTGTCCGCGCAGAGCGCGTGACCGGCCGAGATGGTGAAGAAGACTTGGAGTCGATGGCCTCGTACCCCATCCGCGAGAATCACATGTCGACTGGCACCATCGACAACTTTTCGCTAGATACTGCACTCACCATGCCGTCAACGCCAAACAAGGGCGAGGTCGACGAGAAGCTTCGTGAGGTCCGAGAGGAAATGCAGACCCAGCTCGACAGGCAAAAGGAAGAGTACCAAGATCAGCTGAAGAGCGCCGAAGCCGCCAACGTCGAAGTGGAAGAGATTAAGAAGGACAAGGCGCGCATGGAGGATGCTCTGAAGCAGCTTAAGCAAGAAATGCAGAAGCAGCTCGAGGTCCAGCGCCAAGAGTTCGAGGCCAAGATTGAGAAGATGGACCCTCTGAAGCGACCAAAAGCCAACCCGAAACTGTCAGAGGAAGAAATCAAGCGCGCCAAAGCAGTCGTCAAGCACTGGAAGGGACGGAGGTATGTGCAAATGGCCGAGTCGGTGCTTCAGCACGCTGCGACCCTCAAAGAGGCGCAGATTATGAGCCACGAGCTCAGTGAGGCCGTCGTCTTCCAATTCGCCGTGGTCGACGTCGGCCATGTCCTGTGCTCTTCCTACGACATGGTGCTCAACGGGTATGGAGAGGGTGGGGATGATATCGCGCTCGAGACCGCCCCCAAGCCTTGCATCGGTGTCCGCATCATCGACTACTCCCACAAAGTCGTCCGACTTTGGAGTCTGGAGAAGCTACACGATCGCGTGAGGCAAATGCGACAAATGCACCAGTATCTTGACCAGCCGGAGTACGCCCAGCATTTGAGCCTCGACAACCCCTTTGTCGAATCGTGCATGCCCGAGTTCACCCTGATTGGTGAGGCCGATGTACCCCTGAAGGCTGTATTCGAGATGCGTGTCCAGGACTTCACCCTCGACGTCCTCTCCCCGTACACCTCGCACGCAATTGGCCTCATCAAGCTCGCCTTGGAGCCCTCGAGCGCTCGCGCCCCCACCAACACCCTCAAGTTCAACATTGTCATGCACGAGATGCTTGGCTTTCCCGAGCGCGAAGGCACAGACGTGCACGCCCAGCTCTTCATCCCCGGCGTTTCCGAGGATGAGGGCATCACCACGACCCAGATGGTCAAGGAGTTTGACGAGGGACCGATCAGGTTCGAGAGCGTCCATAGCATGACTGTCCCGCTTTTCGTCCCTCAGGATGTCGCCCTGCGGGTGGCTATCTTTGCCAGGGTCTCACCAATGCACCTTGACAAGCTAATCAGCTGGGATGATATGCGCGATGCGGTGCCCGCCTCGCAGACGGTCCCCAAGGCTGCTCGGATTGCCGAGTCTCAGTTTTTCACTGAAGAGAAGCACGATCTCCTGGCGAGAGTTCAGATTCAAGAGATGAACGAAGACGGAGAATACGTGCCCATCGAGGTTGCTCAGACGAGCGAGATGGATAGCGGCACATTCCAGCTGCATCAAGGTTTGCAGCGCCGGATCGCCATCAACCTTACACATAGCTCCGGCGACGCTCTGCCAATGGACGACGACGTGCCGTCCTTGCGAGTCGGCCAGATCCAGCTCATGGACCAGGCCGGCAAGACGCCCGATATGGGCACGCTCTCGCCGGATATCTCGCTCAAGTTGACATCCAAGCCAACCTTCCGGCAGAACGCCAATGGCACAAGGAGCATCACCATAATTGGCCAGTGGGACTCGAGTCTGCACAAGTCTCTGCTCCTTGACCGAGTCACGGCGGATAAGTACCGTGTGCAGATGACCGTGTCTTGGGAGATCAACTCGCAGCGACTGGCTGAGCCGATGAAGTTTTCGATGAAGGTCTGCTGCCAGATCATGTCCCGGTCTTTTGTTCGACAGTCGTCGATGTTTGCTTCTCTGTGGCAGAACGTCAGGTTTGTGCGGTCTACGACTGCGATTTTTAGCCTCACGATGCGGCCGGCTCCCATCAAGCGGGTTGGCGACCTCTGGAGGATGAACAGCCAACACGACTACGTCAAAGGAGAGGAAAACCTTGTAGCCTGGACGCCCCGAGGCATTTCCCTAGTGAGCGATTTCATCGCTGCTAGAAAGAAGAAGGCGAGGATTGCAGAGATCGGTGCGGCTCAGAACTTCTTGAAGAAGATCGGACCTCCGGAGCCGAGGCAGGCAGTGGAGGATGTAGAGGACCAACACTTAGGATCCGACATTCTTCCCCCCAAACCCAAGGACAGTGATGTAGACTCGATCGACGAGTTGCTCAAAGACACCCCAGATGCATCGCAGATCCTGTCAGCGGCCGAGGAAGCGCAGCCCGCTGTGACTCCCGAAGAGCAGCATGAGCAGCCGCAAGATGCGCCTCAGCCAGATGCGCAAGTCGAAGCGGCAGAGCCGGAATACACGGACGAAGAGCAGCGCATTCTCAACAAGGCCTTGAAGCTCTGGAAGCGCTACCCAGACCCACTGCTTCAGATCCTCAAGCCGGAGAACACCGACCCGCCTTCGAACGGCGTCACCGCCGACCTGATTGCTCCTCCGAGCCTCATCACAACAATCATTCCCGTCGCGAAGAACCCCACCATCATGAAGGGCGGCTACCTCCTTACCCCGTGCAACGAATCTTCCCGCTGGATCAAACGCTTTGTCGAGCTGCGCAGGCCTTACCTGCACGTCCACCACGTGACCAACGGCGACGAGGTCGCGCTCGTCAGCCTCCGCAACGCCCGGGTCGACAGCCAGCCGGGCGTCGTCGGGCTGAGCGACCGGCTGCAGGCCGGCGTGTTTGCCATCTACGGGACGGACAACACGTGGCTGTTTGCGGCACCCAGCGAGCGCGAGAAGCTCGACTGGCTCTTCCGCATCGACCAGACCTTTGTGGTTGACGACTTTGCCTTCCCGGACTACTAATTGCTCACCGCTTCTTTTTTTCTTTTGTCCTTTTTGTCCTCACGCATCTATGATACCTCGCAATATGACGACCACATGGCTGGACCTGTAAGAAGTAATGACAGATATACCAATCTGAGATAATTGGAGAGAGAGAGAGAGAGAGAATATCCAACAAGGAAAAAAAAATAAGAAAATAAAAAAAGGTTTAAAAAACGATGACCTCGATGCTTATCGTGCTGTGAAATTCGTAAAGGGCCAACCCACTACCTAAATTCGATGGGTGAAGCACTTCTGGTGCTTTGTTCTTTTACTTATTATTTTCTTATTTATTTTTTATCTCAACTATTTCCTGTCCTCTGGATATCTATCTATAACCCATGGCTTGCAAAGTAGACTCCACTCACTCCCTCCAGCCTTCTCATTCTCACTCCTGCCCCGCCAGCCCCAGGTCCTTCTCGACCATGGCCCGGCAGATGGGGTGGTAAAAGTCCCTGTTGCGCTCAAAGGTGCGCAGCGCGAGCTCGCGGTCGGCCTTGCCGAGCTCGCGGAACAGGGGGCGCACGTACTTCATGCGCCCGACGCGGCCGAGCAGGTCGGCGACGCCCGCGTAGGCGGCGGCGTCGCGGCTGCGCAGGGCGACGAGGTAGTAGGCCGACAGCAGCTCGACGTTGCGCGTGCGCTCGGGGTCGAGGCCGTAGGCGGCGGCGAGGCGCTGGGAGCGGTCCGGGGCGAGGGCCTCGGGGGCGTCCTGCAGGGCGCCGAGGAGGACGAGCTTCTGGTTTGCGGTCCAGGAGGAGACGTCTGAGGGGCTTGGGGTGAAGGACTGGTTGGTGTTAGTTGTTGTTGTTGTTGTTGTTGTTGTTGGAGAGTGATTTTTCTACACATATGGGAGAGAGGGAGAGGGAGGGAGGGAGGTCTTTTTATTATGACTTACGGGGTCCTTCCACTTCTCGGCCAGGGCGTAGCAGACGTCGATCATGGAGGTGTCGAAGTCGGGCTTGGGCGGCAGGCCGCGGCTGTAGAAGCGGCCCTCCCAGTCAATGCCGGCCAGCTTGTCGGCCAGGTGGGCGTACTCGGGCCGGGCGAAGAAGGCGAGGAAGGTGTCCTTGAAGTCGTACGAGTCGAGCGACTTGTTGGTGTACTTTTCAAAGTAGTGCGGGATGAAGCGGTCAAAGTTGTCGCGGCCGACGAGGCGGTCGAGGTACCAGACCATGTGGAACCCTTTCTCGTAGGGCACGGTGCTGAAGGCGTCGTCCGGGTCGATGCCGTCGTGGGGCACGCACAGCTGGGTGAAGACGTGGTCGGCGCCGAACTGCTGGACCGTGTCCTCGAGGTGCTTCCAGCCGATGACGGCCGAGAAGTCAAAGTAGGCGGGGCCGCGGATGGCGGCCATGATGCGGCGCTCGAGGTACATGGTCCAGCCCTCGTTGAGCCAGTAGTGCTCCCACGAGCACGAGGTGACGAGGTTGCCGCTCCAGCTGTGCGACAGCTCGTGGGCGATGACCTCGACGTTCTCGCGGTCGCCGCTGATGATGGTGGGCGTGGCGAAGGTGAAGATGGGGTTCTCCATGCCGCCGTAGGGGAAGCTGGGCGGCAGCACGAGCACGTTGTACTCGCCCCAGCGGTAGGGGAAGACGAGCCGCTCGACGACGTCCATGAACTTGGGCATGTCCTCCTGCAGCTCCCAGCGGCACTGCTCGAGCTCGTTGGGCCCCGTGGCGACGACGGACCGGGGCCCGATGCGGGCGGTGGCGATGTCTCCCGACGCGAGGGCGAAGAGGTACGAGGGGATGGGCACCTTCTGCACGAAGCGGTAGAGGCCGCCCTCGCCCTGCTGGGCCTCGTCGGCGGCGGTGGCGGGCACGCCGCTGGCCACGACGACGTAGGGCGACCTGATGTTGAAGTCGTAGGTCGACTTGACGTCGGGCGTGTCCTGGCAGGGGAACAGCGACCGGTTGTGGATGGCCTGGCACTGGGAGAACATGAAGGGCGCCTTCTTGTTGGACGTCTGCGCGGGCGTCAGCCACTGCAGGGCCGAGCACTTGCTCGTCGTGGCGACCTCCATCTCGAGCCGGAGGGTCTCTCCCCTGGGCGCGCCCTGGGGCACCTCGACGTGCAGCGGGGAGCCGAGGGGCCCGGTGCGCTCCTTGATGGCGAACTGGGCCGCCGAGCCGCCGACCTTGACGGAGCGGACGTCGACATAGCTCGAGTCGAGGACGACCTCCCTGCTCTGGCTGTCGGTGCGGCTCTCGAGCTCGAGGACGACGGAGCCCTTGAGGGCCTGGCTCTCGAAGTCGACCTCGAAGTTGACGGTCGTGTGCCGGGTCACCCAGGCGTCGTAGTTGGACTGGGTGCTGGGGTCCCGCTTGGCCATGTTCCGCGTGTAGAAGGTGCGCACCTGGAGATGTTTGTTGAAGCGCCTGTGCTGCTCACGGGCGCGGGACTGGTGCTTGGCGCTCGACGGCGGCGGCAGTCTGAGGGCACAGCGAAGCCTGGATCCGGCGAGTGAGGCCGTGGACAGATATCTCGGTGGCGGCGAGGAGGCGGCTCGTCTGAGGCTGAGGGAGACGAAAGGCCGCATGTGTTTTTGTTGTTGTTATCCGCGCGCAGGCGATGACTAGATCGGGGCCCTCGTGATCTCTTGACTAGCTTCGCAAAAAACTCTTGAAGCTATTTTTACAAGTCACCTTCCGCTTTGGCGACGTCACCCGTCACTGGGTCCGATCTAGAGTGGAGTATTCTGGTGATCTCATTCGTCAATTCTCTGCCCGCGTGCCGTCCCGAGAGAAAAATGCTCCGATTGCCCTTTTTTTTTTATTTTTTTTTTTTTATATATATTATTTTTTTTATTTACCTTTTTGAGCCGCAGGTTGCCGCCCAGGCAAAGTCCGTAGGAACGGAACGGAGGACTGTGCCGCGCACAGCCGGCTTGACTTCAAGACTCTCAGGCCGCCGTGGGCACCGTGTGGTCCGATTGCACGCCGCAGAAAGAGGCCTGAAAAGACCCTAAAAAGACCTCCAGAAAAGGGGGGATACCAGACTCCTGAATAACCTTAGTGTTGGCAGCTGTCACTGAAGGCTTGCTTGATAGGCAACATCATTAGCGCAGAGAGGTGGCCAAGCTTTTTCTGCTTGCATAACCTTGGTTACTTTACACAACATTCTGTATGCACAATGTAACTAACTAACTACTGGGGTTGCTTGTGCTTGGGGAGTGGACGAAGGGGGAATGGCAGCAATGGCCACGCTGAGTGGCTGGGCCAGGGCGATGGAGAGTCACAGCACTTCGGCCCGGCTCTTGCACCACTGTTTCGCCTTCTTCCAAGCCCGGTTCTAGCGCTTCTCCCAGGCATTCTCGGGACGAGAATGACGCCCTGAGGGGGGCCCTGACAGGTGTCGCTTAGTGGCCAACGTGGTACAATACTTGTACAGTGTGCACTGTCGGTCAACTGGAACAGGATCCCCTGCCCTGCAGGCATTCTGGCAGGGCTTCCACCAAGGTTGGGTACATCGCGGGGATCCATCCATCTGAGACAGCTTTATCGTCTTCAGATAGATTGCAGACAAGCTTCGTGCCTTGGCCAGGACAGATTTGACGTGTATGCGCCAAGAGAAAGCACCGCACGAATATGATGACAAGAATCAAGTGTCGAAGCCAAGAGTCATCTAGTCTACCTACCTAGGTAGTTAGCAACACTGTGCCTGGAACGTCATTTTGTGCTGGATGCTCGGCTCCCTTCACTAGGTAAGGTATTCCAGGGGAGGACTCCTGTTACAGACTCGCAGCTACGCTGAACAGGCGCGTCCAAGCCCCCGAGATACTCTGGGGTTCAGCATACTGTATCCAACACCACCTCGTGGGAGACAGGCCCTAGCCGTGCGCCACCACAAACACGCTGGGGAGGGGAGGGCCGCCTAGTGCCGAAACAGAGCTTCACTATCCTCATCTTGGCACTTCGTCCGACCTCTCTCCCTCCCTATAGTTGCTAGTTATGTTTCGTCTTTGTCATTTGTCCTTCAATGCCGTCCGGACGGACCCCTTCAGGCAGGAGCGGGAAGAACAGACGAGTCTGCTGCCTTTTCTCAGGAAACGAAACACACCGGGTCAGCTCGAAACAATGCTGCACATGGGACGAAAGGGAAAATGCTTTGGGAGGTGTGTTTCAAAAGCGTAGTTTCTCATCGAATCTCTGCACAGAGGCAAGCCTGGATGGTCAGGAGGAGCCTTCATGTTTCAAACTCGTCTGTGGCTGGCGATTGAACAACGCCGGCTTCCCCGAGGGTGAAAAGATGGTCGTCCGCAACGAGTGAGGCTTGTCCACCAATACTGTTTGGGAAAGCATTTCGTCCTCTACCGGATGCCCGGACCCGCTACAGACCACGGCGAAGGGGAAGGGCCAGTCCTGTTTGGGGAGTGTCGTTGGGCCAGAATCATGTACAACAGCTCGAGCTGGGGATTGTCTTGCCCGCCCCTGTTGCCCCCATACAAATAGGTTTGTATGTACAAGTAGTTCAAACGGCTATTTTTATCGGCTTCGCTTAGTTGTTTAGCAAACAACCTCTTGAACTACCTAAGTGGGCTAGGTTAGCAGAGCCCTTTCTCGTCTCGGGTGCGGCATCCATCCATGGATCCAGACCTGCCAAACCCCCCAGTGGCTGGAAACTCCACGAGACGAGTGCAGGGCTAGATGCGTGCGTGCGTCGTCAAAAGCACGACACGAGACTGTCCCCCTTTTGCTGGTCTGCTGGCTGCCTGGCCCCCTTCTTGGGATCGAATAGGAAGGCGATCTCGTCACGATGCAAGTAGTGGTGGATTTGCAAGACCGTAATCTCGGCGTAACTCTTTTTTTCTTTCTGACGGCAATTTCCAGGGAGGGAAGGACTGCCATCTGGGGAAAGGCGAGAGTGCAAAAGGGTCCCATGACTTTGCTCGGTATTCGAAAAAACACAGCATCATATTCCGCAGTATCCAGGCGTTCATGCACGGTCAATCGTTTTTTCATTAACAGCCCCTCACTCATGCAGTTGCGCCATGTCTTGCCATTGGCTACGACGCCTTTCATCAGAGCAGCAGCCCTGGCCCAAATCCACTCAAAAGTCTGGTCGAGATTAGGAGCGTCTGTTCGCGCACGACCTCCCCCCGCCGCCCGCCCGCCGTGATAACTTCTGTTAGTCATGAGGCGAGCAAACAGTCGAACTGGGAGCCTGGTTCTCGTGTCTGCATCGTAACTTGGACTAACACGGGTTATGATCGACCCCGCACACCAAGCCAGGATCAAGTTGAAAAGAGACATGTTTCTCACATCATGTTGTCAAAGTCTCGAGATACCTGGGCGTGCCGCACGACCAAACTTGTTTAAGAATGAACCCCCTGGTTTTCACACTTGTACTTGTAGATCGCCCGCTTCTGACGCATAACATCCATCTTAATCATGTCTGATGGAGACGCTAATTTGTTTCCTTAAATCACGACAATGCAGAGCCGTTGAGTACGTCGAAACAGGGAAACAATGGTCACACACACACACACACACAGAGTCTTGTCTTTTCGGGAAACGGCATGTCAGAGCTCAGGTGCCGTCCCCAGTTTATGCCGCACTGCCGAAACATCATCCACGACTGATGGAGCTGTTCTGGCAAAGAAGCTGCAGCTGTCTACAAGTACATCCCTAGGTCCACAGCAAGTCTTGGTATCCAGCGATCTCTTTCCCTCTTGTGCTCCCGATATTGGCATGACCCCAAATTAGATTCTCCATGCCAGTGTTGGCCCTCTGCCCAGCTGGGCCCACGCCGCTGGGGTTGGCGGCTGTCAGCCACCTTGACTAGCTTGTCTCAGGTCCCTGAAGCATCGCACTAGCTCCCCAAACCTTCCGGGGGTTCAGGACTAGTCCAGTGTGGGTAGAGACTAACTAAGGTAGAGAGTAAGCTCGGACAGTTCGTCTGGTTCAGAGTCCAACCTAGGTTGGTAGTTCATCATGAGAATCCCTCTCCCCAGGCCAAAGACGAAGCGAAGCGGAGCAAGGCAGCTCAAAGGGCATCAAGGTTGCGGAATCCCGGTCTCGCCCGAGCAGGAAAAAGTCTTGTTTCTTCTTGGCCAGTCGCAATCAGTCATACAGAATCGATTCTCGATGCTCATTTACCCTACGAGACCGGATGTTTGAATTGCTTCAAATGCCGGCCTCCATGATGTCAACCAGAAACCCCAGACTTTGTATTGTGTGTTCAATACAACACAATCAGATCACTTTGATCTAGATTGGAGATTCCGGGATGGCGGAAGGGCCATCGATACAACCGGGTTCCCCCCTGGTGATACATCGTCAACATCGTACGATGCTATGCGGAGTTGTGGCTTCAAATTGATGATGGTCTGGGCCCGGTGGGCGCGCAGGGACCACCATGGGGGCGTACGGCGTAGAGCTGCTATCCAGGTCTCGTCTCGTTGCTCCCTCGTCTGGTCCAAGCAGGGTGCTTGCAAGTCGTCTTTGCCGCCGCCGAACCTCGCGGCAAGAAATGGGGGTTGTTGGCCCGCTCCGCATCCCGTTCCGCGCCAGTTCTGCACGGGTAAGGTGAAGGGCGGGCAGCCCAGGCTCAAAGCTCGAACCTCGTGCGGGCGATCTGAAGCTAGCGATGCAAGCTCTTCCGCGCCCGCAGGCTTATAATGAGCCTGTGATATTATCCTGTCCGTGCTCAACCTTGACGAGATTCAAAACGGTTGGCGGGGTAGGTAAGTGAGGAGATTGCGTCGTTCAAAGGCCGCAAACAGCAGCAGCAGTAACCCCTTGTGCTTGCTGATAACAAACAACTGGAGCGAGAAGACATACGTGAGACCGAGACGGTGGCACCCCCCCCCCTCTCTTTCCAACAGCATGTCGTCCCCTCATGAAGCTATCCTGAGCCTCGGGTCGAGTAGACGAGACTGCGCTAGTGCTGAGAGTACCGGAGTTGGGAAACCTACACCTCCGAACGCGGAAAGGCAGCCGCCGTTTACGGAATATTTTGTGATCAATTGAGCAATCATATCGACGTTTGTGCCGGTCCTCGAGCAGCAGCAGCAGGTGGTGTTCTCGTTTCACACCAAAGTCTGGGAAATCTGCCGGGGGGGCCCCCTGGTCCGAGCTACGCAGCGGCCTTCAACCGATAGGCTCTCGCCCATCACAGCCAGGGGTTGGGCATATACCCCGAGCTATAATGCAGATGTTATGGTGTGCACCCTTGACGGCGGTCATCGGGACAGATCGTGGCCTCGAGCTTGTATGTACCAGAGGTTCGGTTCCAACTGCCAACGCCAAATCGAGCGTCAAAGGCCAGATCAAGCTTTGCCATCAGTGTCAGCACGAGACATTGATATATGGAAGGGGTGCTCTCGGCAGACTCATCTGGCTGAGGAAAGGGCATTGCCTCGTGTATAGGATCACCGGTGCTGCTGCGGGAGTTGCAGGGTGACTCGTGCAGCTCCTTGCCCGATGACGATAACGTAGATGCAGGCGTTTGCCGCCGACGTCTTGTCTCTTGTCGTTTCACACCGCCGTACGGCACAGCAAGCCAACCCCAAAAGGGGATCATCGGCTATTAGTGACGCACATCTGTTGCAAAGAGTAGGTATGGTGTTTCCTTTTCGTCACTGTGCTAGTCGCTGCAGGTGGCTAAAGAGGTGATTGCAACTCTGCACTGTGACAGGCGCTGCGAAGTGATAAGAGAGAAAACCCAGATCTTGACGCCATACTCCGGAAGCTGTTACAGGAGCACGGCGTGTGTGAGAGATATCCCATGCAGCGGAGCTTTTCGAAACAGGGCACCTCGCATTGCAGAGCCAGGCCTCGGAGATCTACTTGCAGTACACTGCAAGAGATAGGTTACTGGCGAAGATCAGATGAACAGGGGGGTCTCGCGGCGCTCTTGCATGTCGATGCAGCTCTTTTTCCTCATCGTCGACAGCCGGTGAGCCATCGTAGAAAGCACGACATTGTCGAAAGCAGTCTCCCTGCAGTTGAATACTGCGCTGGCATCCCGCTTAAGCGTGCGAAGGTGCTCTCAAGCCTGCATCGCGAGGACTGCCACAGACGGATCATGATCCTGAGCCGAAAAAACGTGTTCGGCAAGGTTGATCCCTGTCCGCGGGTGGTCGGAGACATGTTGGGCGGGGAATTTCTTGCCCACGGTGGATCGGCCAGAATCGTCAGCCACCTGGAATCCTCTCCTCGGTGTCCGTCGACAAAGCTTTCCTGCCACCTGAGACAAAGACGAAAATTGAACAGCTGTGTCTCGAGGAACAAGTCGTGAGTCTTGTCCTGTATTGTCTTGCCTTGTCTTGTCTGATGCAAGATGGTAACCTCGCTGTACGCAACATGATCAAGTTTGTACAATCGCTTGGGCACATTTGGAATTCTCATGTCAATCCTCATCAATCAAACGATATGCTGAACGTACAAGTACAACTGTCTTTGCAAGGCCCCGTGTCGACACCCTGGAGGGATCGGGAAACGTCAAACAGGCATCGCCTCGACGAGCAGATCTCTTTTCCTCTTTGAGGTTCGGTTAGAGAAAAAAGGAGTTGCTTACGGGGTATCAAGATTCAGGGCATCCTCGCTCACATCTCATCTCGACTGAACTCGAAAACGCTCCCAGGGAGCCCTTGCCCACACCAGGAGGGACCCTTGCCCTCCACCACCGCACTGGCCGCACCCGGGGTTTCTGCACAAATCCGGCAATCTTCGCCGCTTTCTAGGCCTCTGGAGCAGCTCGCCTCGGTGATAAGCCCTCTTTGTGGGGGTGTTTGACATTGCTGAGCACTGCCGTCTTCGGATCAAACATTTGTACTAGCAGCTTCGCACCGACCACGAACATGGTCAGCATATCCCTGATCCATGAGGATGAGGGAGCTGTCATCGCGGAGTGTCCGTCCCGTAGTTCAAATGTCAGCAACGACACCCTGCTAGCGATCCGCCTGCTCGAGTTAATACGTGTGGATCAGGATAGGAGCCTCCTTCCATTTGAAGAGACAAACAAGTGGAATGCGGACATAATTAGGTAGCTTCAAGTTTGCTCAGCAATGACTGAGCTCTGGGCAGATCAGCTTTGTGGGCAAAATAACCTCTACAAGTAATTGAAGCAAGCCGGAGGACTCTGAAGGGGCGAGGGGCGGGGATGGATCACGACGACCGGGCCCCCAGCCGACCTCAACATCAGTGATGCCCGACCACGGAAGGGCAACAACCTGCAAGCAAGGCCGGCCTTTTCCGATTGCTTGACAATCAATGACCAAATTGGTCTCTCAGAGTTACTGAACTTGTTGAAGGTATCTCTGGCTTGGGCCGCCTCACTTGTGCGCGCCTCGGCGTCGTCTCATATGCATCCAACTTGCATTGATCAGCGAAATTCTCCGGCCAGAAAGACGATCATTGCTGTATGTGACTGCCTCAGCTTGTCCTTTTGCAATAGTCTAATGTACGTTCCTGGTCGGGCTTGCTTGTTTCGAGCTTGTCCAAGTATTCTCCGGCCTGGCTCCAGCTAATGCGCCCTTATTCCGTGACCTGCCTGTGCAGCAACGCACCTAACCCTTCGAAGCTAATCATGCAAGATGTCAAGCAGGTCGGGCGAATCCTGTGGACCGTTTTTGATCTCATCAAACAGCTTCAGAAACAACTCATTCTCCACCATCACCTCGATAACGGCGCTCGAGTAAATTGATCGGCCCCAAGCTTTGTGGCTTGTGATCTCCATGAAACCTCCCGGAGGGCCGGCCTCGCTCCGGGCCTCGTCGGTGGCCACGCCGATCCACCCTCATGTTACAGCAATATGAGGACAGTGCTGTCCGGACACAACCTCTTTCGAGTTGAGGAGATGGGCGGTGAGGACGTGCGATATTAGTGTGCAGAGTGGCCCCGTCGCCCTGCAACGTCGAGTCACATCGCCTCGTCTTCGTGATCAGAGATGGGAGCTCGCCAGTCTCGAGCAGCCGTTGGATTGTCGATTCATCTCGCGCTTAATCCGGCACGCCCAAGCTGCAGGTATCCTGAATTCTAATTTAAAGCCCATGTGCTTGCTCACGGACGTCCAAACTCGACGCCAATGGCAATGCGGCAACTTAATCGATCTCTCGGTAGGGTCTGTGCAGCAAATGCTCGCCCTCACTCGCTGGCAACGAGGAGGCACTTTGATATCGGCTTTGTAGAGCTGCCACAGGCCCTTGCTGGTCGCCCTTGTCTCTTTCTCAATTCCTGGTACCGCGCAAACCATCACAATGATCATGTAGCATCGCGATGGTAGCGTGACTGATCATCCTTGTGGGCCTAGGTAGTGAAGCTATCACCGCATCGATATCAGATCACGACGGCCACCACCCTTCACGGCCAAGACCTCACTGATTCGTGCGCGTTACAGATGGAGGAGGGAGGGGCAGCATCACCACGCCTCCCTCAAGCCCCTCCGCGAGTTTGGTCCTTTGCCGGTCGATCTGGACCGCTCGGCTTCAAATAAGAGCTCCGCAGATCACCCGCCTTCTTAATCCAAGCCCAGTCAAAGCAGCGAATGCAACGGGAGCGGAAAAAGACGAGAATGCGGGGAAGGACCCTGCATCTGGCTGCCAAAGGACCACGGCCACGATGCCACGGGAAGTAGAGGCTTGTGCTTTCGCAGGAGGACGCCAACAAGTGCCTGCTCTGAGCCGCTGTGTGATGATGCTTGGGCACGGCTCTGAGGAGTCGTCCAAGTGTGGCTTGATGGCAGTCCTCTGACCACAGCAAAGAAAAAAACGCCTGAACGAGCCACTGAGCGAGCAGACAGGCACGGCATGTGTCTGCCACTCTCCGCCGCGGTGCAGATGCAGACGCAGACGCAGACGCAGGGTAGTGAAATCTTATCTGCAAAGCTCTCTGCAGACGGTGCTCCGGAGGTGCTGTGCCCTCTGGGCGGACTAACTAGCACGCACTTAGTAATGATTGCTCCATGTTTTCCTCCTGCAGGCTCCAGGAGGTGGGGTCTATCCACGCCCGTGCTCATTCTCTTGTGGTGGTGGTGTCTTGTCGTGCCTTGTCAAGCTTGTGTGTCTGAACAAGAAGAAGCAGGTTGAGCTCAGATATTGACAAGCATGGAGCTACACCAAATCCAGACCCTTGCGGCGGTGGGGCTGCGCTCCAAGATGGGTGGGAGGGTGGATGGCCTGCCCCCTGCCGCATTAGCACGTACTAAGGCCAGGGATGGGCCAGGGATGGGCCAGGGATGCTGCAGGGCTCGACGGTCTAAGCGGTTTCACTGTTTTCCTCTGGCCCCATGCTGCTTCGCCTACCCGTCTCTGGGTCTGGGTCTGGGCAGGCAGTCGACCAGGTCATGAGAATCACCCACGCTCCTCGCTTACACACTGTCTCTACCTACCTACTCCGTACCTATCTCTCTCTCTCTCTCTCTCTCTCTCTCCATGACCTAACTAACTGACTACAAGTAGCTACACACGAGGTTCTCTCGGTACCCGGCCGGCCAGCAGTGGACTTGGACTTGGGAAGTGGAGATGCCTTCTGTACAGCATGTCTCAGCCCTTTTTTCTCTTTCAACCGTTGTCACGGCCTAGCATCGTGTCCGGGAAGAGATCGGCTCAGCTCCCCCAACGCAAGGGGTGTGTGTCTCTTGGTGTGCGGTCAAAATGCTTTCTTATTTCGTCTGCATCTCGTTCTGGGTTTGGCCTTTCTTCCTAACGGTGTTGGGCAATGAGTCGCCATCATCGGCGGCGACTTACTCTCGACTCTCAGACGGGGAGCCGGGGCACTGCCTCTCGAGGCCATGTCGTTCTGAGGAGCTTTGACCTTCTTGAACTACTTGTACATGCCCCCCTCCGTGCATCATCCCGCCCACCTTTTCTCTTGGACACGCACGCCCCTTGTCCTCGAGATGGGTACCCTCAAGGATATCCAGAGCACGGGGCACCCTTGTCCATAGAAGGGCTCTTAACCGTGCTCCCGTAACCCCCCCAGCACTCCCTTGCTAAGGAGACAAGTAGGTACCTCGAGGGGTGCAGGGGGGGGACAGAAAAGACATTCACCACACCACCTGCGTGGTTTACATATATAGCCTCACCTACCTCACTGCCGGTTTATCAACCAGCCAAAGTGTTTTATAGGTGTGGGACTTTAACCTCTTCCCTGGGCCATAGCTGCATCACATTATCCCAACGACCTTGAGAGCTGCTGGCCCATCAACCTCCTACAGCACCGCAGTCCTTGATATATCAATGGCTCACATTGTCAACTGCATGCTGGATCATGAATCCGGATATATAGTCAAGGCCGACTCCCCACAACCCCCAAATGATCCGGTAAGCAATCAAATTATCTTCGTGTCCCGCCCTACAATTTACCAGAGTTCAAACCTGCCCCTGGCCCGAGCTTACCAATATTGTTCATGAGCAGTCTGATAAGGCCTCTCTAACGGAGAAGCCTTTTGTCTGGAGGATGCACCAACAGCCAGAGAGGAAGTACCAGCTCTTCCCCAAGGAGAAGCAGGCAGTGCCTGCCGCGGGTAAAGGGCTGGACCCGGAGCAGGCCTTTGCGTTGGCCATGGGACAGAACGGAGAGAAGACGGACAAGCCGCCAGCTGGGAATGGCCTCCGACTACGAATCAAGGAACACAATCTGATCAGGCGAAGGAAGGTCAGCGTACCGGAGCTGGGACCGATGACCACCGTCCAGGAGGTCGCCATGGATTCTCGTAGGTTTATTATGCCAACAAGGCAGCTTCCGTCGAGGGGTATCCAGAGTACTGACCCTGCCCCAAGCAACCATTCCCGGTCGACCACCACTGCACGAGCGATCCATCAGTGCTCCCGGCCACAGCTGGAGACTGAACCACCTGGCTGACTGCGTGGCTGATATCCCTCCAGCCCACGACGAGAACGCGGAGCTCACCATGCCCGACGTGTGCGAGTCCCCGTCCATCTTCCGCCAGCCCTTGTCGCCCAAGAGCCTGGCTCCCCTCATCATCCCCTCGCTGAGCTCGACCGTGCCACGCCTGACGAGGCAGCTGTCTCTCAACCGCCTCCGCTCCGGGAGCACGCCCGTCGAACCTACCGCTCGGTCCGCGCAGACAGACGACTCGCCCATGACCACCAAGACACCCTTCACCCCTCTCTCCGCGGCGACGCAGCTTACCACGCCGAGGTCGGCAACGACGGCGGCCATGATCGCGTCCAGTGTGGCAACGCCCATCTCAGCACCCGCCGGATCTCGATCCTCTCCGCAGCCATGGGGAGAGCCCAACCACGCCGTTAAAGACGCGGCAGCCGACCCCAACGCAACCCCAAGGGCAGAGCCCGAGTCGAGGATCGCCCTGAGCCACAGGAGGGGCCAGTCCGACTCCGGAAGCATCATGGAGCGAGGCCGTCCGAGGAAGCGGAGCGAGGGCAAGGAGAGCGGCACCATCCTCAAGCGATCCGTCTCCAAGAGAAGCAAGAGCACTGAGCGAAGGGCCTTCGAGACGCTACCCAAGGGCTGGAAGGCGAGCGAGGCAGCCAACATGCTGAACAAGACGGAGCTCGGAGCTCTGCAGAAGCAAGCCATGCAACAGGCAGCCAGGTTCGAGGTCCTCAGGAAGGAGGACGTGGACCGGCTTTCAATGGTGCGTAGTCCTTCTGGAGCTTGGTTGTAGGAGAGAGAGCATAAACTGACACTTCAATAGGAGCTGCGCAACCTCGATGAGCGCACCGAGTACCTTCGTCGTACTTACACTTCGCTCCGTGCCGGACGCCGCAACCTGCACTCCAGGATCTGCACCTACCTCCGCTCGCCCCGCGTGGCCAAGTTCAGCCACGACTCGATGCTGAAGCAGGAGGAAGCTCTCGCCGAGCTGGATGCCTCCATCGACGACTGGGTCACCAAGCTCGAGCAGGCCGAGAACCGCCGCACGCGAGTCCGCCAGAAGCTCCTCGAGCACGTCGCTGCCGCCGCCACGCTGCCCTCTCCCACCGGCAGCGTGGTCGGTGTCAGCGAGAGCCTGCAGATGGCCATGGGCATCAAGCAGCCCGCCATGCCCAACGGCACCGCCAACATCTCGACGCCGCCTCGCAGCCCGGCCAAGACGACCTTCACCTGCAGCTCCGCCTCCCAGTCGGGCTCGCCCTCCCCCCAGCGCGTCGTCGCCCAGGTCCCCTCCACCATCTTCGAGCAGCCCCTCGGGGAGGAGGCCGCCAGCAAGGACGCCCTCCCTCGCCGGGTCGACGTCGAGAGCATCCGCATCTACGCCGGCGACGACGTCTACGCCCTCCTTGCCGACGTCGAAAACGAGATCACCAAGATGAGCAACGGCGACAACGCGTTGTCCCCCAAGGATGCCAAGGTCTCGGACGACGAGCGCAAGCAGATCCACCGCGAGAAGAGCCAGGAGATCCTCAACGGAGCCGCCAATAACAAGAGCAAACCAGCCTCCGCGCCCGTGTCTCCCAAGGGCTCGCCCACCCGCAAGAACACCGCCGTTGAGGGAGAGATGCTGCTCACCGCAGCCGTCTTCCGACCCTGAGCATCGACTACTCGAGCTTCGATCATCCATCCGGCTTTCCAGCGTACATACTTTTACGAAGCAGGCATATTTCGCCTTTTCCTCGACACCCACATATTTTTCTCCTAATTTCCAAAGTCCTTCCACTCCCTTTTTTTTTATGCAACCAACGATTCCACGTTCCTTTTCTGTTTCTCCAGCGAACGAAGTCAACGGCCGACCAGCGCACGATCCTTCAAAGCATTTACAACCTTTTGATACCCTCTTCGACTCACTCCTTTGCGCGAAAGCATTCTACCTATTCAACAGCATTACTTTTTTACCATGTTCCCCCCCTTTTCAACCCAACCACCTACCCATTACTTCTTCTCCCTTGTCTTTCTTTCCTAACATGTACAACACATCCTTCGGAGTTTGGGTCTGCTTTCAACTGCCTTCCAGCATGCTGCTCACGGCCTGACTGATGATACCACACGACGCTCACGCGTTCTAACGGCCGAAAAGAAAACACCATTTTCTCATTCCTTCACATATATGTCGTTCACATCACTTTTCCTCGCATACTACCGCATTTCTCCTACTGTGCATAATATCAACCAAAAAGAGGCACACAGCTTCTTTATCTCTCTGTATTATTCTGACATCATACCTGCTTTTTGTCTTTCTCCTTTCTGTTCTGTGTTTACTTTTAGGGTGGTTTTGCACTTGGAAGGGTTTTTTTTCGCTTTTCTTTCCCCCTTTTGGGACATCAGGGGAAAACCCCCCAGACTGAATTGCATCATACCATCACTGGATGGGGAAAAAGACCGGTCGTGAAACCGGTTTTTTTCGGGAAGGAAATCGAACGAAGATACCAGCAGCAGAGAGAGAGAGAGAGAGAGAGAGAGAGCAGAAGAGATGTGCGCATGCAGGGTGCGTGCTGAAACTTGAAACATTATGCGTGAGAAGGGGGGGTCTGAACCCCGAGGTTGGCAGAGTCTCGCCACCTCGACGTGATTCTTTCGAGGGATAGTCAAAGCTGAAAATCAACACCAATGCTTCACCGCCAAGAATAATCTTGCTTTTGTTCCTTGTTCCTACTGCAATGCGACTGTGATGTATCTGGGGTGGGTGACTGGTGTTGTCCGAGTGTAGTCAAGTCTTCTCACGGTCAAAGTCGCACCTCCATCGAATCCCTGTCCGGCCGGTAGACCCAACCTGCACACAGTCAACCGCCTCGATGGATCAGAGCCCTCCATCCATCTCGTATCTGATGATCTCAAAAATGACATCCCACACCCCCGTCCAATCGCAACTTTTTTCTCCCTGCCGTGCCTTGGCGGCTCTAATCGCACATATCGACAGGGACCACAGCTTTTCTCTCCCCCCCCTCCCGCGCGCCACAGCCCAGAAGAGAATGTCATTAATTCTCCGATTCTGTGGGAGATATCACAAGACACACACACACCTTGGCTACAAAGAACATTGTACTCGAAAGTTCGCCGCCGCCCACGGCTTCCGCACCTGCTGTGGCCGCTGTGGTTCCGTTCGGCGCTGCCCAGCCCGCCAACTCTGCCTCGTCCGTGTTCGTCTTTGGCGCGAACAATCCCGTCAGCCCGCCGACGCCGCCGCCGAGCGGCACCAC